TCCTGATAAGGGGAATAACTCGAGTTGGGGTGTCTCCTCGAGCTCAGAGCCCTCCCCCCGGACAGCACGCCAAATATGCTTTATACTTAAACGAATGCAAGTGTAAACTCGTGAAATGCAGTTGATGCCCTTCCAGCTGCAACACATCACTGGGAAACACCCATACACTTCCATTCACACACATACACTACGGACAATTAAGCTTACCCAATTTACCAATAGAGCATGTCTTTGGACTTGAGGGGGAAACTGGAGCACCCACAGGAAACCCACACGAACACGGGGAGAACATGCAAACTCCACACAGAATGCCAATTGACCCAGCCGAAGCTCGAACTAGTGACCTTCTTGCTGTGAGGCGACAGCACTACCTACTGTGCCACCGCATTGCCCCGTGTTGTTATTTTATAACCAATAAATGCAGATTTTCTTAAAAATCCTACAAAGATTAAAACTGACTGAGCATATGTGGTTCAGAAATGTTAATAAAGATAGAGAGTCAATGACACCGAAATTAATTCCATATTGGGCAGATTATTATCTTTTATGAGGAAAGCACCTTGTCTTGCCCACAGACAGCAGTCAGAAGACAAGTCTTTAACAATCAATTTAAGGCTTAGAGAAAAATAAAAAGCCTGGGGCAGCAGGCTCATTTCTCCAGTCCTAATGCTAATAAGCTTTGGTGACATTTTGCTCAGCTATTATCCCGCTTAATTAGCCTGTTTTGTCAGATTGCACCATACATCTAATGTTTTCAATATTAGACAGCAAATGCAAGGTCCTTTTTCAAAATGTTATGGAGAACGATGCATGAAGCTTCAACTACATTTCATTTGGGTTTGCATTTACAGTGTTTAAACTCATGAAACACACCCATTGTCTGTTTCAAGTGAATTTGCTAATGAAAGGGCCTCATAATAATCCCATACGGTAAGAAATCAGGCAATATGACAGTAAAGCACCATTTAGCGAGCCAAGAGCAATCATATGGCATTTGTTGTGTCTGGGGGAAATCCTGAATGCATTGTTAATTTGTTTTACAGATGATATATGCTAGTAATGTAATTTATTTGCAATCAGACCCACCAAAATTGTATGATAAACTAATAATTTATAGATAAATGGATTGATAAATCCTTTCAGACTGGGAAACACAAAAGTGCAGTAAATGTTGGTTTTCAAATGACATTCAATACGTTACTGTCTACATGTCTAGAAAAATCTAACTTATTTGTCTTGCTGCAAATGCCCTCAACTTGCAGAATCTAATTCCACTTTTATAGTCAGATAATTTGGATCATTTTTAGATTGCTTGTTATTACTGCTGGTTGCTCAGTTTGTTGCTCACAAAGTGATGCTGATGCTTTTACTCATGATTGTGCCTTGTGACTCCCATCGCCATTTACAAATCACCACAGCACCTTGCATCAAATCGATCATACCAAAATCTGACAAAAGATGTTTAATTGTTTTTAAAATAAGTTTTTACACTCACTAAGGCTGCAATTATATGAGAAAATTCAGCAAAACTAGTAATATTGTAAAATATTATTGAAATTATTAGTTATTTAATTAGTTTTCCTTCAGCTTAGTCCCTGATTTATCGGAGTTTGCCACAGTGGAATGAACAGCCAACAATTCCGGCAAATATTTTACCTAGCAGATGCCCTTCCAGCTGAATCCCAGTACTGTGAAACACCCATACACCTTCGCATTCACATACACACTCATACACTATGGCCAATTTTGTTTACCCACTTCCATATACCCCATGTCTTTGGACTGTGGGGGAAACCGGAGCACCCGGAGGAATTTCCAAGCAAACATCATGAGAATATGCAAACTCACACAGTAATGCTAACTGGCCTAGCCGGGACTCGAAACAGCAGGTTTTTTTGCCCTGAGGCGACAGTGCTAATTACTGAACCACTGTGCTGCCCATTATTGAAATTAAATATGTATACAGTTGAATTCAGAATTATTAAACCCCCTGAATTATTAGCCCCCCTGTTTATTTTTTCCCCAATTTCTGTTTAACGGAGAGAAGAATTTTTCAACACATTTCTAACTATAATAGTTTAATAACTAATTTCTAATAACTGATTTATTTTATCTTTATTTTTCAAGACACTTCTATACAGCTTAAAGTGACATTTAAAGGCTTAACTAGGTTAATTAGGTTAACTAGGCAGGTTAAGGTAATTTAGCAAGTTATTGTTTAATGATGGTTTGCTCTGTAGACTATCGAAAAAAATATATAGCTTAAAGGAGCTAATAATTTTTAAATGGTTTTAGATTTTAAAAAATGAAACTGCTTTTATTCTAGCTGAAATAAAACAAATAAGACTTCTCTAGAAGAAAAAAATACTGAAAATTTCCTTGCTCTGTTTAACATATTTTTAGTATTTAGGAACTTTAAAAAAGAAAAAAAAATCAAAAGGGGTTTAAGAATTTTAACTGTATATACACACTGGGTAATTTGCTAAAGAGAGTAAGAAAAATCATCCACAAATTTACAAACATATCAATACCTTAACCAGTTTTACAAGAGAGCGAGCCACCATGAAATTAATACAAGAAATGGCACAGAGTGATCATCCTCTTTTTGATCTACTTCCTCCAACAAAGGTGAAAATAATGGTTGGTTCCTCAGGAAGCAAAGAAATCAAACACTATATAAAACAAGGGCAAAACCATGTACTTGTTCCACCATTCCTTTGGGCATTAGACTGTTGGATACTTAGGGGCTTTCAATTAATTGCATTTTAACCCATTTTGATCTTTAATAAGGGGATGCTGGTTATTTATTTGTGCAACTTTGTATTTAATTTTCATTTCATTTAGCTTTTATTTATTTTTATTTTTTTGGTATTTTGTATTAATGTATATAGATGTACAGCTATTTCTGCAAAAATTTAATCTTGGCATTGCTATGCAAAGAACAAATAAACCTTAAACCTGGCTTGCCCGAACTCAGTCCTGGGGGGCCGGTGTCCTGAAAAGTTTAGTTCTAATCCCAATCAGACACACCTGGGCTAGCTAATCAAGCTCTTACTAGGCTTTCTAGAAACATCTTTGCAGGAGTGTTGACGCTAAAGAGAAGGTGCCATTGGAGTAAAATCTGCAGGACACCGGCCCTGCAGAAATGAGTTTGGACACCCCTGCCTTAAACCTTAAGTGGAGTAATTAACAAAACAGATTTCCGTTATTTATTTTTTATTTTTTTATTTTTTTACACTATTTATTATTCTTGTCTTAAGCATACTAAGCGTCAATTAATACTTCAGAACATATTCTAATTAAATGAGTTGTTGACTAAGAAACAGTAATATTGTGTAAATTGGCAAAAGTTGTTAAGCTGAATATTGCTTGTATTTTTAGATGAAAAAAGTTCAGAAGGCAAAGACTAGTCTTTTGTAAAGTAATTATTTAGGCTGTAAATTTTAAACACTTTAAATCAAACCTTAAATGATGAGCCCAAATCTTTAAAATCTAGAGAATGTAAATATTTCCATTGAAAGAGAATAAAAGAAGGAAACAAGTTATTAATGTTTGACTGCATTTACTATTAATATGTTCATATGTGTAATCACTTATTTCATTTAAAATAATATTATCATTTAGATCATGTATTTGCATAAATGACAGTAGGTCAATGTGAATATTCCATATTTTAACACATTAATGTACTTCACCACTTTACAATAAGGTTCCATTAGTTAATGTTAATTATTTTATTGACAGAATGTATTAGTTATATTTCAACATTTGTTAATGCATTATTAAAATTTAAATGTATGCTTATTATTTAAGGAACAAAGTACATCCATGTGGTGGTCATAACAGATCAAGCCTGACAGCTGTTGTATGAAACTGAATGGTAATGGTAATCGTTTATTAACTTTTCAAATAAAGGCTAAGCTAAAAGAAATGAAAACGGCTTATTGGACTATTCACTAACGTATGTATTATTTAGTTACAAGTTGACACCAAACAGTTAAAAACAGTAGCACAAAATGATGAACTGCTTTTTCATTAACTAATGTTAACAGAGATTCATAAATACTACGTTGTTCATTGTTTGTTCATGTTAGTTAATTGATGACCTGAAGGCCAATCCCAATTCTATTTTTGTACCCCTTCCCCTCAAAATGTACCCCTAAGATCTCTTGCTTCATATGAGATTGGCGATCACGACTGCTGTAGTTGTTCCTGTTGCGTTATAATTTGAAATTTATCTTCAGGAAATCAGTGAAGGCATATATCATGTTATCATATAATGTCATAATGTAGCATGAAGATCGTAACTGTACTGTGCATTTACACTCTGGCCATATTCATCTCTGTAAACACACAAAAACAACATCAACATTATAGCGGACACTGTAAAAAGCCCATTCCTGACCACTAGACTTTTTGACAGGGTATTCCAGTGTCAAATGTGAACGTATGTTGTAGGACTTTTATACAGATTCTATTCAGATTCTATGCACATTAGTGATTATAGATTGTGAAATTTAGCGGTTTTATATTTTAATGTTTTTTGTTTTTTTAACCATGATGATAAAACACGAACGCTGTTATGAATGTATTAAAACATGTGCTTGTTTGTTATAAAATTTGTAATAATGACAAAAATTCTAATTTGTGGATCTCCTGACTTCCATGTGCAGACATGGAAGTCGTTGTAGCTTGTAATTTTTCTTGCCCCATGGTTTCCAGTGTGGTCCTGCAAGATCTCTATTTTAGGTGTATGTAGTCCTTCCCTACGCCTTCAAGCTAAAGAGAATTGGGACAGAGCTAAGGGGATAGAAGAATTGGAAATGGAACCTAACTGTAAGATGTTACCCATGTGTATTGAAATATTGATCATATTGAAATGATCTCTTCATTTTTTCCAGAGCTGTATTGTAGGCTGATCTACACTTACACAACACGCTGTATACAGCTGTACTGCATATCCAATGATTTTCCCTGTAATGTGTTTTTCTCTTGCACAGATTCCTCCAAGAAGCTTAAAGATGTCCTGGAAGAATTTCACGGAAATGGTGTCCTCTCCAAGTACAACCCTGAGCAGGTATGTAATGACAGTGCGGGCCGTGCGTGATCTCACCTGATTAAATGATCTGTTTAGAGGCAGCGAAGCCTCTGGCTGTGACTTGACAGAACACCAATACAACCTGACTCAGGCCTCAAGTCATTACAGGAAATGCTTAGTCATCCACTCCCCGAAACCAAGTGGCCAGATATCGCCTGCTATTAGAGAAGGTCCTCGCTGACATCATAAAGCCCATGCATCACATTGCCATGACAACAAAGCCAGCAGGCAGCCGCATCTATAATTTGCTTTATGGAGTGTCACCATTATATTTCTCCGCTCTCTTCCGCACTGACATAAATAAGAGGCTGCTCGGGGTCTGGCGCCACAGGTTGTGACCCAGAGCCTCGGCTGAATCAATAGAGAATCAGCACCGATGGCACTTAATGGGTCTGAAGCTGACGCCAGGTTGGCTGTGGTGTGACAATGCATGCTTCACATTGTTCATTAGTTCACCACCTTTAAATCATAAACTTGGAAGGATTGCAAAATAGAGGTGACATGCCATCAGTGCTAACAGTGACAGAGCGCTGTATTTCATTCATCTGTACAGCCCAGATTGAATTTCTGACTTCGCCTGGGCTGTAAATATTCTTCACTACAGCATCTTTCAATTGCTTGTCTATAGTAAATTTGGTGCACATTTTGTATTGCTTTTTCCTTTTCTTACGTTTTATAATCATAAATTTCGTATTGTTTAAAAAGTTTTAAAGAGAATATGTGAGTCAAGGTTATCTAGAAGCTAATGTTCTGCAAAACATCAACATTTTAAATAAATAAAAATACAATTTATAATTATTATTTTTGAAAAATTAACAATAAAATTTCACACCGTTTAATTTTCTCAAATCCAAAAATATGGCTCGGTATTTTTTATTATGTCACTCTGCATGTTTGCATCTCATTAAATATTCTGTCCAATCAAATGCTTTCTAGTCTAGAATCTGAAGAAAACTTCACCTGCATTGTATGTACAGTATATGTGTCAAAAAGTCAAATTTCAATTAATTTACTTACTCTCAGGCCATTGAAGATGTAAAGTTTTTATTCAGTAGAACATTAAAGAAAACAATTACCTAAACCTTTGGTCCTTGGCGATTGTTAAAATGCAAGTCAATGGTGACCTGTTTTTGAGATTAAAATCCACAGCCTGGGCAAACAGTTCTGCACATTTGTAGTGAGCACAAGCAGATGGCTTGATGACATATGCATGAGCTGTGGCTGATATTCCTGTTCTTGCTCACATAATTACTGTCTTCTATAAAGTGAATGTTAATTTGGTGAATTACACATGGAGTTTTATGCAAAGGTTTGGGCACCCCTCTGTGACTGCGTAGTAATGTGATATGCCATACAGTTTTTAGAGAAAGCTAGATAAGGTTATGTTTTTCAGACAGAAATCTGTAGTGTAGCGGTGTTGAGATGTGTGAAATTAAATTGAAACTGAAAAATAGGCTGTGCAAAAGTTTGGGCACCCATTCTTTTGTGTGGATTTCAAAACCTGTAGTCACTTGATGCTGACTGATTACAACACAAAATTGATTTGAGTGACTCCAGAAAGTAGCAACATGGGAATCTCAAAAGAACTTCATAATGACCTTAAAACTTGGATCATTTATTAAACGAATTAGGAAAAAGATACAAAAAGCAATCACAAAGGTTTAAAATCTTCACAGTTAGAAATATTGTAAGAACAGGTAAGGCCACAGAAACAGTTCTTGTAAAGGAAAGATGAGGTAGGCCAAGAAGGATATCTGAAAGGCAAAGGAGAAGAATGGTTAGAATGATCACAGACTACCTCCAAAGAGCTCCAGGAGCATCTTGCTGCTGATAATGTCAATGAACTGTACATTGTTCAATTCAATTCAATTCAGCTTTATTTGTATAGCGCTTTTACAATGTAGATTGTGTCAAAGCAGCGTCACATAAATGGTCATAGTAACTGGAACAGTGTGGTTCAGTAACTGGAACAGTGTAGTTCAGTTTTTAGTGTTTAAGTTCAGTTCAGTTTGGCTCAGTTCAGTGTAATTTAATCATTACTGAGAGTTCAAACACTGAAGAGCCACATTGTTCAACAGTCGAGCACACTCTTCACAAAGAACAGCTCAATGGAAGGGTAATGTTTCTGCATTGTGCCAAGCAAAGTCGTTTGAGGTATGCAAAGGTTCATCTGGACAAGCCTGAATCATTTGGAAAAAATATATATATATACTGTAGACCAGGGGTCTCCACTCTCGTTCCTGGAGGTCCGGTGCCCTGAAGGGTTTTGCTCCAACTTGCGTCAACACACCTGCCTGGGTGTTTCAAGTATACCTAGTAAGACCTTGATTAGCTTGTGCAGGTGTGTTTAATTAAGGTTGGAGCTAAAATCTGCAGGACACCGGAATGGAGTTCTGCATTCCCGTGGCTGTATCGTGGGAGACACAGGACCTGACCAGATTTCTGAATAAAGTGCGGGAGCGGTCGGTAACTGGTTTAATTTTGGACTGGAGCGGGTGGTCTATCAATATCGCTCCCGACTCCCGAGTGAGCGAGCACACGTATGTATCTCATTAACGGGAACGGGCACGGTGGGTAAAAAATGGGGCAGGTCGGGCAGCGGTACAACAAATGCTGAATGTAAGTGTGAGTGGTCGGGTTTGAGCTGAAGCCTGGCGGGAGCGGGATTCAAAATTTAGTCCCGCGCAGATTTCTAAACCGGACCTCAAGGAACAAGTTTGGTGATCCCTGCTGTAAACATATGAAACTAAGATCAAGTTATTTAGTCACAACCACAGACAATTTGTAATTTGAATACAACATTCCAGGAGAAGAACTTGCTCCCTATGAAATATAGGGGAGAGTCCGTCATGCTGTGAGGATATGTGGAAAGCACAGGTGCTGGAAACCTTATCAGAGTTGAAGGTTGCATAGATTCCACACAGTATCAGCAGATTCTTAAGAACAATGTTCAAGAATCAATCAAGAGCCTGAAGTTACGGCAGGGTTGGATGTTTCAGGAGAGCAATGACTGAATGATTTGTAGGATCAGCAGACTATGGCCTGAAATTATGATGATTATCAGGGGTGCCCAAACTTTTGCACAAAACTGTAGTCCACTATACAGGGCACAAATGATTTAGTGTTAAAATACTTTTCACTTGGTTGAATGAAGTTTGGTTTCATGAATGATATGAGCTGCACACCATATGTGCAGCACATGCACACAGACACACTCTGTTCCAGTCTAGAGGCACAACAACAGAATGTTTTAGGTCAGATGGAACAGTCATCATTGGATACAAATTGCATTTTCCCTGTTTTTTTTTTTAAATAAAATGCAATTACTGTTTTAGATGCTTCGTATCAACGTCATTATAACAGCATGTATGTCTAAAATCAATTGATATTACTCTCTGATCTCATTTAATAGCAATTATAGATTCAAAACTATTTTGTGCAATATTTATATTTGTAAATAAATGCCTATAATACATTTCCCTTACTATAAGAGTTTAACTGTTTAAATTTAAAAGTTCTTTCACTTCATTTAATAATCTATTCAATGTTCCTGCATTTTTATTACAAAGCATTCCTGTAAAACAACCATTTATGTTGTTAATATAGGGGAAGAGAGTTAACAGGTTAATTACAGTGACTCTGTAAACTTTGTCAAAGGAAGAGTCTCTGTGGCGGCAGGGAAAGGTTAAATAAACTGTTCATTGTTTCTTGCATTACTTGATACTGCCTTAGTTTCTGTGTTCTGCAAGTTTGAATGTCAGACAGGAAGTTCCTCTTACAGATATGGCTGTTACACTGCTACTCACTCCACCAAAACATACAAACATGTTTGCTAATAACGAGACAAAGTGAGTCATTTGGGTTCAGTTACTCTTACCTTCCTGTTTTTGCTGTGCGTCTGCCCAGTGTTTGCAGACCCTCAAGCCTTGTCCAGCTTTGCATCCAGTCACCTCTTACACTTCACTACTGAATCCTTCACTAAAATGTTACAAACATGTAAACAAATGACAGACATGCTCACTGTTTTGTCCTCTATTGTATGTATGTATTTATGTATGTACAGTATGTATGTATGTTTGTATGTACAGTTGAAGTCAGAACTATTAGCCCCCCTGTTTATTTTTTTCCCCGATTTCTGTTTAATGTAGGGAAGATTGTATTAGCACATTTCTAAGCATAATAGTTTTAAAAACGTATTTCTAATAACTGATTTATTTTATCTTTGCCATGATGACAGTAAATAGTATTTTACTTAATATTTTTTAAGACACATCTGTACAGCTTAAAGTGACATTTAAAGGCTTAACTAGGTTAATAAGGTGAACTAGGCAGGTTAGGGTAATTAAGCAAGTTATTGTATAAAGATGGTTATTTAAAAAAAAATTAGCTTAAAGGGGCTAATAATTTTGTCCCAAAAATGTTTTTGAGAAAATGAATACCTACTTTTATTCTTGCCGAAATAAAACAAATAAGACTTTGTCCAGAAGAAGAAATGTTATTAGAAATACTGTGAAATTTTCCTTGCTCTGTAAAATATAATTTGAGAAATATTTAAAAAAAGAAAATAAAATCAAAAGATGGCCAATAATTCTGACTTCGTTTGTATGTATGTATGTATGTATGTATGTATGTATGTATGTATGTATGTATGTATGTATGTATGCATGATTTATTTATTTATTTATTTACATTTATATTTATATAGTTTTTATTTATTTATTTGCAATTATTTATTTATGTTTATTTATTTGTTAATCTATTTATTTGTTTGTTTGTTTAATTTGATTTATTTACATTGATTTATTTATTTTTAATTATTTTAATTATATATATATTTTTTATATTTATATAGTTTTTATTTATTTAATTGCAATTATTTATTTATGTTTATTTATTTGTTAATCTATTTATTTGTTTGTTTGTTTGTTTGTTTGTTTAATTTTATTTATTTACATTTATTTATTTTTAATTATTTATATATATTTATTTATTATTTAATTTTATATATATATATATATATATATATATATATATATATATATATATATATATATATATTTGTTTATATTTATTTATATTTTTAATTTATTTGAATATTTATTTGTTTATTTGTTTATTTATCTTTATTTATATATTTAGATTCATTTTTATTTATATATTTATAATTATTTATATATTTATTTATATTTATGTTTTAATTAATATTTTATTTTTTGTTTGTCTTTTTCAGTTTTTGTTTTTGATAGCTAAATTAATTTTTTTTTATATTTTCTATTTTCTTTTAGTTTTTTAAATAATTTGGTTTTATTTTCAGCACAACTTAGTTTTGCTGGTATCGATTGATAAGCAGTTTTCATGTTCAATAATATTGCATGGCCAAAACTATGGCTAATTAATGGACTTTTTGCATTTTTTTTAAATATATACATTTATACGTACTATTATTTATAAGTATGTTGTTGTTACAAAAGTATGTATGCATGTGTGCATATGTGTTTAACTTTTTTATTAAAAATACAACAGCAAAATTTTGAAAAGAATATCTAATCAGAATAAATGTTTGAATATTTTGAACTTTTCATTCTTCAAAATACTACGTAGCGTAACCCTTGGCGAGCAAACTTACCAACCCCTTATATCAGTACTGATCAGTACAATTGCTTTAATTAAAGGCTAAAAAGCTGTCCCATATTAAATCTTTTATTGTACAGTTTTATTTTTTTCTCTTTCGTTTTGTTACCAAAAGCAAATTACTACCTTAAAATAGTAAACCCCTATTATGCACATTGACCAGGTGATTCTCTTGCCACCGAACCTGCAAAACAGCATTAAGCTAAAGCAGAGAACTAATGCGTTTTACAGCACTGAAGATGGAATAATGTGAATTCATTGAGTGTCAGAGGAGCAGAGGATCTGAAAGCTAACACCGATCACTGATCTCTCTGCACAAAACCAGCGCTTCAGTGTATATATAACCCGTCTCTCCTCTACCCTCTCCATATATCTCTGACTGCCACACAGAAGCAAGATGTGCTCAACCAAGTAAGCTGTCAACTTCTGGGTTTGCATGTTCTGTGGTTCAGTGTGTCTACAGACTGCATGCCTAACCAGAAAGTGGGCAATAATGTCTCCTGATGGTCAAAGGTCGTGCCCGGGGCTTTTCAATGTGAGCTGTGTGTCTGTGCTACTTTAAAATGTATTAACAGCCTCTTCATCATGGTGTTTTTGCACACTCCGAAAAAAAATACTGGGTTGTTTCAAGATCAGATGGAAGACCAGAGGAATTTTATTTTAACAAGGGAACAATTACAGATTAATCAGATCAGTAAAAGGAAGGTACAGTACAGACATGTGACTCTTTGGAGCTGTTTATATCTGGTCACTTCATGTATTTGTTTTCTGATCAGAGAGCTATCTTATTGTTAGAAGACTAGGGCAGGGTTGCACGAGCCTATCATAAATTCTTTTTCAAACTGGAATGTAAAGTCCACACAATAGGTACTTATTAACTACTAGCTTGTTTGTAACTATATGTTTGTTGCTATTTCGGTTGCACCACATGTTGTTAAAGCAAACTGTAGTTAAAAGGTTGAACACTGTAAAAGCAATAGCTGTTCCCACTAATAAAAGTCCAGTTAATTTATTATGAATGTGTTTGTAGAATATATACACAAGTAAACCCAATGTTTAAGAACATTAATTTGTTGAAGTAAATAGATTACAGTAATCTTGACTGACAATTATATGTATTAACAACTTTGAGCTATTGCGTTAAAATGTATATGTAGTGTATTTATTTTAAGTCAGCATAACTTAAAGTTTGTTAATAAAGTAAACTTCAGTACCGTTGACTCAAATAGTTAGTTTGAATAGTAACTTTTTATTAGTGTTCACATTACTTGGAAAAAATTAGGAAACCAGTTGCCTTAAAATTATCAAGTACGCTAAACTAAAGCATTTAAGTAAAGACAAAAACCTGTCCATAAAGTCATGCATAATCGCATTGAATGATGTAATATCTAATAAGAAGCCTTTAAATCATTTACTGCTTTAAAATTCTGCAACCAATGCATCTACATATCTGTCCTATGAAAATGAAATGACAAATGATATTTTTATAGTACATTACATTACAGTCAGTCACTGTAACAGACGATGCACATACCACCATTGAAAGCCGTGAATGCACCCAAAATACACATGAAGTTATCAAAACATTAAACTTGATACATATATATATATATATATATATATATATATATATATATATATATATATATATATATATATATATATATATATATATATATATATATATTTCTAGTCAAAATAAAACAGAAGAAAAAATATCATCAGACATACTGTGAAAATTGTCTTGCTCTGTTAAAAATAATTTGGGAAATATTTAAAAAAGAAGCAAAAATTTGAAGGGGGCTAATAATTCTGACTTCAACTGTATATATATATATATATATGTATATATATATATATATATATATATATATATATATATATATATATATGTGTGTTTCTTTTGTTCACAGGGCACAACGTTTAGTTTTCCCAAGAGTAGGTTATATGCAAATTAATGTAACCCCTTTGCAGTTTTGAATCATGTCTTGCACATGTTTGTTCAACAAAAATAGATGTTCATTTAGGCCTATAATGACAGTACCTTCTGTTTTGTTTTGTTTTTTACATGAATGTAAGTTAAGCACAAATCCTTTTGTAAAAACTGCAAATAAAATAATTTGTATTGCAAATAATATTTATAGCTTGCTTTTCTGTTAATAATAGTAATAATAATACAAAATAATAATTATATAGTGTAAAATATATACAGTTGAAGTCTGTATATATTTAGTCTTGAATTATTAAAGCCCCTAAATTATTTGCCCCCTGTTTGTTTTGTTCCCCATTTTCTGTTTAACTGAGAGCAGATTTTTTTCAACACATTTCTAAACGTAATAGTTTTAATAGCTATTTTCTAATAACTAATTTATTTTATCTTTGATGACAGTACATAATATTTTACTAGATATTTTAAGACACTTCTGTACACCTTAAAAGTGACATTTAATGGCTTAACTATGTTAATTAGGGTAACTAGGCAGGTTAGGGTAATTAGTCAAGTTATTGTATAATAATGGTTTGTTCTGTAGACTATCGAAAAAATATATAGCTTAAAGGGGCTAATAATTAAGACCCTAAAAAATTGTTTTTAAAAACTAAAAATTTTTATTCTAGCTGAAAAAATAATATGTTCTCCAGAAGAATTATTAAAAATATTAAATTTAATGATATGTAATAAAAGTAATATAAAAAATATTATCAGACATACTGTGAAAATTTCCTTGCTCTGTTAAACATAATTTGGGAAATATTTAAAAAAGGAAAGAAATTAGAATTATATAAAATTATTTATTTTCGGTGCTTTAGCTGACGTGACCTATAAAATCCTATTTAAAAATTAGATTTAGATTCATATCTATTTAGCCGAATGTAAATTAAACAGTTTTCACAAATCAGATAGCTGTCCGCTCAGAGAAAACGCATGAAGTGAGCTGCTGTAAACAGACCCTTTGTTTAAATTTGACTCAAATCTGGGTTGAAACAATTCAGCATTTTTAGAGTGTAACCTCTGATGATTTTGCTTCTATGAGCAGAATATAAATGTGTTTTACTGTACTTCAATGTGTGTCAGTGGGCTCCCTCTGTATTTTTGTTGCTGTGTGTCCTAATGAAATGCTTGAGCGTGTCATTCATGCCCTGAGACAGGAACATTCTTTCTGCTGAACACATAAAGGAGCAGGAGCTGCTTATTCACGGCTTTATTTCATCTCACTTGCTTCACATTTCTCATCATTTGTCCTCTTGTCTCCTGCAGCCCATCGATTATGAGGGCTTTCAGCTCTTCATGACCACCTACCTGGAGAATGACATCCCCGAGGAACTGTGCAAACACCTCTTCACCTCCTTCAAGAGCAAGAATGGTGGAGAAGGCTCCCCTGACACCTCTCGAGCTGGAGCAGGAATTCTGGGTAAATACTCTATTCAAATGACTTTACACTCGAAATGACTTCTTGTGGAGGTCTGGATGAAATATTCAATTTGATAGTGTCATTGGGTTCTGAAAAAAAGCTGTGAATTATTAACTGCTGAAACACCTTTTGTCATAAATGCTAGTGGGTCAAAATGAGAGTGAGTTTAAATACTTAGAAAGCATATTACAATGAATAAAGTATCAAAATAAAATGATGAAATATGGATGAAATATTGTTAAATCATTCTACAATGTATTTACTTAAAATTGAAATGACATACTTAAGTTGTTCAGGGCTTTATGTTTTAAAGGTTCATGAAACACCCCTCTTTCAATTCAAGTCTACCCAAAGACTAAAGGATACACAAGACATGTCACTCATATGTTTTTTGAATGGGGAAAAGTGTAATAGTGAATGAATATATGGTGAATGAAGCCTCTCCCACTAGTACAGGAGCCAATCATAGATCGATACATGGTAAATAAAACGTAATTTAAAGTCTTTACATATACGATAGGCTGTTCGTAATTTCATATAAAATATAACCACAATTTTTTTATATAATTATAAAAAAAATCATGTTTACATAACCACTATAAATTTGGAGGACTTCTCTCTTCCTAAATCTTGGCCCTGAATGCAGAAAACATGGATAGCAGCAGATCTCTTTCCATATCTATTCCAACCATTAGCCCTACCGGTAATCTGGGGGATTTTAAACATGTGCGAGCACAGCAGCGCGGCGATGTGTCTGAATGGTAACAAACTCAACTGATAAAAGATAAAGTCTGCCATTCTCCAATTCTTGTACAGCTCTCCTGACAAAAATGCTTGCTGCACACAAATAGGTTGGCTGTATAGGCCCTGACAGAATTGCAGAGAAAGCTATGCAACTAACTCTGTGGATCATGGAAATAAACACTTGCGACCATTCATGAATGGCTAAATCTAGCATGTCGTGCGCGTGACAGATGAGTGGTCTGTCCATATTAGTCTGTCATTGAAAACACGTGCAGTCATAAATAATTAAGAAGCAAAGTTCTCTCATAGGATAAGAAAACTCAGCTATGAATAATAATGAGAAATCGACATGTCATCACTCCACTAGCAGGTTCGTGCTCTGTTCCTGATTTTGATCTCGCCCCAAAAATTATTTTAAAACCGGAAGATGAAATTAGCTGACAAAAGGTCAAAATTATCTGGTTTTCCCGATAATTAAAGCCAACAAGAGCTAACATTGTCTTAAATGATGCTCAACGCACACAAATCTGATAAAATCTCAAAGAAAGTACTCCAGCATGTCTTGAACCCTAATTTAGCTGAATGTTAAAAGGGCAAAATATAATAAAAAAATACAGTTAAAATCCGAGGTACTCAGAGAGTAAATGAAAAAGTAAAAAAAAAAACCTTTATTAACTATTTATTAAAAAATATAAAAATTATTTATTAGGCTATTAAAGAATAATTTTGCACTGCACCTACATATTTTGGCAAAACCTGCCTTCCTCACGGTGACAATTAAAATGAACTTTTCAACGATTTTTCTTTAAAAATTCTAAAGGCTTAATACATAAAATATTAAATACTTGCTATTCTGGACTATTTTGTGGTCACTAATCACTAATTTTCTGTGTTATCACCTCCAGCACTGCTGTCAATAAACCAAGAGGTGGGCAACCTACTGTAAAAACTATAAAATTCTAAAAGTAGATAGAAAGCTTTAAAGAAATCTTTCACTGTCACTGTGAAGCAGTCTGATCCATTTTTACTTTAAAAAAATACAATAAAATTGTTATTACCTCAAACTTTTAAGGGACAGTGTATTAAATTAAAATATAGCATTTGTACCTTTGATGCCAGACTCTTGGATAATACCTTATTTTATCATTTGCATTAGATTAGACTATTTCTGACTAAAACAAACTTGTTTGCATCTGGAGACCCACACTCATTTGTGTTACACAGAGAAACCTGCTGTCTGCCTTTTAGAAACTCTATGGCTCTGAGCTATTACTTATTAAGACTAGATAAAAATAACTGATTTGATGAAAAATTCCATTTTCAAGGAAAGATGCTGGTGGCCTTTTGTTTGAATCACACTCATATCACTGTTGACCTGAGGTGATTAAGAGGAATAGTTTGATTGCCAACAGTGCCATCTAGTGCCAAGATTTCTCAGTGCTGGCAAAACATAGTACAGCCAGGGAACTCTTTTGCTAATAAAGCAACACAGTCAATGAATGTTAAAGGTATAATTCACCCAAAGTGAAAATGTATTTACAATTCACTCACCCTCAGGTAGTTCCCTGCATCTTTCTTCTTCTGAACACAAAATAATATATTTTGAAGAATGTTGGAAAATCATGTTGGCAATCATATAGGGAATCAAAATACTATGGAAGTCAGTAGCTTTGTTTCCATCCATCTATATTTTTGCACATAGATTTGAATGCTTTATGGAACTCCAAGATGCTCATAAATTTTGAAAATGAACTGATAAACTTTTTATCTGATAAGAAAGAATTAACATAAACTACGTTGGAAAAACATTTTTTGAATACATTATAATATGCGCATGAAAAAAGTAGTGTTTTTTTTTTGTTTTTAACAGATCATGTAATAAAAATAGGCACGATACGACATGAATGGGCAAACCAGCAGACCGAACACACTGTAAAACATCTAAAATGTTGTTTTGGTCATTCTAAAATGCCTTAGCCAAAGTCTGTTATCAAAGTGGTTCAGTATTATTACCTCCCAGAACTGTCTTGACCAGCTGTGCTCCCAAACGCTTCTAAAAGCTACCACATGTTCATTGCATTTTGTATTCATCTTCTAAGTGCTTCTACAACAGCAAATTCCACTTTTCTTTTAGCTAGAGTATTTACGTAATTTATTCACAAATGATTTATGCATTATTCCAGTTTTGTGAATAAATCTAATTCACATCTTTTGGAAACAGCTAATGGCTACTGGTTTCCAGCATTCTTCAAAATAATAAGTACCCCATTATGCTTTTATCAGATATTACATTTCATGGAGAGTGTTAAAAAGCTGTTTGTGAATGTAAAAGGTCTGCAAAGTTTCAAAGATTAAAGTGCTGAACAAATGGAATTTTTGTCTCCAGAATCGATTCTGAACTGAGTCGTCATTTAACTAATGGTTCATTGGCTGCTTGTGAAAACGCTCTGAGGCTTGGAAGGGTTTGGTTTGTGAGTAGTTTTTATTGTGTGCTGAGAAAGCTTTGAGAGGTGGCATTTGGAAATGCTGTTTTAGACTAACTGCAAGCAGTAGACCAGTCACAACAGATTGGGCTATCTGACCACCAATCAAACCAGAGTAGTCTTTTAGAAAGAAGGCGTTTAGAGAAACCGAATGCTTGAACAAACAGTTTAGGAAACTAGCTGATGCTTTAGCTTATGTTATGCAAACTTTAAACTGTTTTTTTTTTTTTTACCTTGGATAGATCTAAGGGCTGAGACACACCAAATCAACACCAAACAACTAACACTAGATAAAAAACTAGATAAAAAAGTGTGTTGGACACCGAGCAGACAGTAGCTGACTAAAAATAAAAGATGACGTTCTGCATCTGTGCAAGAAGATGTGTCTTTTCGCACCTGTGAGGGACAGTAGTCTGTTTTCTTAATCTAAAAAAGGGAAAACGGATGATAAAATACAGAGACAAAGCATTTAGTGACATTATCACAGTAATTTCCACCCACCGTAGAGGCATTTGCTCATGCAAATTTGTCTGATAATCTAAAAATATACAGTTAAAGTCAGAATTATAAGCCCCCCTTTGAATTTCTTTTCTTTTCATTTCCCAAATGATGTTTAACAAAGCAAGGAAATGTTCACAGTATGTCTGATAATATTGTTTCTTCTGGGGAAAGCCTTATTTGTTTTATTTTGGCTAGAATAAAAGCTGTTTTTAATAAAAAAAAAATTAAGGTCAAAATTATTAGACCCTTTAAGCTATAATTTTTTTTCGATGTTCTCCTAAACAAACCATTGTTATGCAATAAATTGCCTAATTATCCTATCTTGCCTAGTTAACCTAATTAAGCCTTTAATGTCACTTTAAGCTGTATAGAAGTGTCTTGAAAAATATCTAGTCAAATATTATTTACTGTCATCATGGCAAATATAAAACAAATAAGTTATTAGAAATTAATTATTAAAACTATTATGTTTAGAAATGTTTTTTTTTTTTAATCTGCTCTCCGTTAAACAGAAAATGGGGAAAAAATTAACAGGAGGCTAATAATTCAGGGGGCCTAATAATTCTGACTTCAACTATACATTGGTTTGCAAATAGTTGAGAAATGTAGCAAAACTACAGCCAGCTTTTCTGAGTTCCTTCTTGAATTGTTTACTTGGGTGTCTCACTTAAATTTTTGTTCTCATGCTCTGATTCCTTGCTGAATAACCAATCAGAGCGCTCTCTTCAGCTGAAACTGATTCTAAATGCTGAATCGGGTTAACATCAGAGCTCGTTGGCCCAATAGACCCTTTTCACAATGTCATGCAGTGTCTGGTTTCACTCCACGCGAATGTATATTTACTTCCACCAACAGTACTCCCCATAGAAAACTCACCCAGTCAGCTTGATATTTACTATAGATATGGTTAGATTGTCACTACAGCTGTTTTCTAACAATAAGAAGACTGCATTTTAATTATACGGTTTAATGCAGTATTATTAGATTATTAAATAATTTGTAACTTATTATTAATTAGGGTAAAAGGTATACAGATATAAAATTAAAACCACCCAGTACGTGGCGGAAGGATACTGTCTAAAGGTCACATTAAATCACAATGTGCAATGTTATATTATAATATATAATAGAGAAGTCTCCCATTCATTCAAAGGTAAACCGGAGATAAAAATACACTACGTTGCTAACAGGAGCAAGTGACATGATGTCATTGTGAAAAGGATCTACCGTTGAAGTCAGAATTATTAGCCCCCCTGAATTTTTTTTTTTTCCCCAATTTCTGTTTAATGGAGGGAAAATTGTTTCAGCACATTTATAAGCATAATAGTTTTAAAAACCTATTTCTAATAACTGATTTATTTTATCTTTGCCATAATGACATTAAATAATATTTTACTTGATATTTTTCAAGAAACTTCTATACAGCTTAAAGTGACATTTAAAAGCTTAACTAGGTTAATAAGGTTAACTAGGCAGGTTAGGGTAATTAGGTTAGTTTTTCTATAATGATGGCTTGTTCTGTAGTCTATGGAAATATAAATTAGCTCAAAGGGGCTAATAATTTCATCCCAAAAATAGTTTTAAAAAAATTCAGAACTGCTTTTATTCTAGCCGAAATAAAACAAGTAAAACTTTCTCCAGAAGAAAAAAATATTATCAGACATACTGTGAAAATGTCCTTGCTCTGATAAACATAATTTGGGAAATATTTAAAAAAGAAAAAAAATCAAAAGGGGGCTAATAATTTGACTTCAACTGTATATAGGATCTACTATTCAGCATGTAGAATCTGTGGGACCAGGGGGGCCAAGTCGGAGCACTCACTCTGGTTCCCCGGCCTTTGCGTTGATTGGATAAATTCAAAATTGAACCAAAACAAACCATTACGGTAGGCTTAAGATTGGCAATCACAATTCGGGACATTGTAATCTGCAGAACCTGTGGTTTCTCAACAACAAATCAGAGCAACTAGGCACACCGACGCTATGCAATGACCTAGTGAAGCCCATCAGCTGACTGTCGACTTGGTGTGTGTCAGTCCAGTGTAAGAGATCTCCAATATAGGAATCATTAGAGTAGCATAATTGGTGCATTTTAGTAGTAAACACTCATTGTACCAGTCATAAACCTGTCATATTAATCTGTCTTGACTGACTGCTCTCATGAATAAGCCTGGAACCATTTCCTTTGTTTGTCTTGTTTTACTCCTGCTCCACTTCACTCTTTACTTTGACCTCTGTGTCTGCAGAGCCCAAGTCCATTGATGCAGGCATCTCTATACAGACAGAAGTGGCCTGTGCACCCATCACAGGTATCACAGCAAGCGTGGTGTGATTTGACTGGCCAGAGACTTGCTGTGACTCTCTTCAAAGCGTGTTCAAACTTCACCCGGTGTTGTTTAGTGTCGTCTTGATGTGTCTTGGCAGCACTTTTGGTTTATTTGTGTTGATGTCAGTCAAAGCAGTCAGTGATAGATGTGATTTCATCTATGGTATCATCAGGTCAACCACTGTGTCACTGCGGTGTTGATCACAATGTTTGTCAGTAATTGCTAAATGCCATCAGCTTCCTCCTCAATATCTTGTGTGATAATACACATTTCTGCCCTGAGTCACTCTACTTGTTCTGGTTTCTACCAATTACACTCCAAGAAACGTGTACATGGGCGAACTGACCAGTAATAAGCAATATAATTTCTGAACAGTGGGTCTCATTTACTAATAGGGACATTCTACCAGAGACATGCATTATCTGTGCCTGAAATAAAAACATAATACAGTAACCAAAAAGTATTTCATCCCAAAAGTTTCTAATCTGGACTGATGTTTGATTTCTGTGAATTGTTCTATGAAGGAATATGTCTTTCATTTGGTTCTCAGATTATTTTTTCATTATTAAAAACACTTTACACTGTACAAACTCTGTCATTGTCCTTATCCTCAGCCTAATGGAACCTACCTCTTCAATACTTTTGTTATGATACAAACTGTTATTTAGAAAAAAAATACTTCAGAAATAGGAGGTTAAAGTTGTTATCATTCACATCAGTTGATTAAAAACGTAAAATTATACATAAATTCTACAAATAAATGCAACAAATATATAATACAAATAAATGTACAATGGTCTCTGTGTTTCTGTCAGTCACAATGCGTGCAATACATCTGTAACGCTATGACTCGAAAGAGACATCATTTGACGGAGAAGCTGACAGTGATCAAGGATGCGTTCTATCAATGAATCGTATGATTTTATGCATGTTTTGTATGATTTTTTTGGAGGACGACAAGTTTAAGTCAGGCCCTGTCACGTTTTACATAAGTAAAAATGTACATTTCTGGTAGATTGTTCCAATATGTGTGTACAGAAATACTTATTAATGTAAACAGAAGAGTTCCTCATGCAAAATGCTCACTAAATTGATAAAATGCATGCACATAAATTTATATTTAATTCTAAGGCTGATGAATCCCATTTAAGCAGGTGAAACTCAATAAATGTTAAACTCAGGGAGCCACACGAATGTCAGTAGAAAAAACTTATTTGAAATAAATTGCAAACTTTTTGTGATGTTTTTGTGAGTTAACAATATAAAAAAATACAATTTTAGTCATGTTAAAATGTAGTTTTTTTTTAAGTTTTAATATATGAATGTATGTGTTTATTTAAAAAAAATCTTTCTTAATTCAGCAAGGATTAAATTAATCAAACAAGACTATAAAGATATTTACATTGACACATAAGTAAAGTAAATGTTTTTCTTTTGAGTTTTGAATTCTAGCAATCCCGATAAGAAAAAAAAATAAAGCAACAGAATCCTTTTATAACACTGCAGACTGGAGAGATTGCTGTATAAATTACATAAAATATTATTAAACGTAATATATAAAATAAAATAAAACTATATTGACATATTAAATATTTACATTTTTCTTTAGTCATCATTTATTCATTTTCTTTCAGCTTTATTCATCAGTGGTTGCTACAGAGAAATAAATTGCCAATTTATTCAGCTTATGTTTTAAACATCTATGCCCTTGCAGCTGCAACCCAGTACTGGGAAACACCCATACACTCTCTCATCCATATACATACACTACGGCCAATTTAGTTCATTCAATTCACTTATAGCGCATGTCTCTGGACTGTAAAGGAAACTGGAGCACCCTGAGGAAACCCAAACTAACAGGGGGCGAACACCCAGCCGTGACTCAACCACGGCCTTCTTGCTGTGAGGCAGCAGTGCAAACCACTGAGCCACTGTGTTGGCCATTTTTCCTTAGTTTTAAGTTGAAATTTAATTAATTTTTACAACCCATGTTCTGTGTTGTAGAGTTCAAGCACCGTTTTTTACACTCAGTTAGTGAATGAGACCCAGTTTCAATTTGTTTGAGTGTTTATAAGTATGACGCTCTGTTGCTTTTTGTCTTAATTCATATTTTCATCTTCATGTTCCTGTCTTTTTGCACTTGTTTTTTTTTTTTTCTAGGTATGAATGGGAAGAGTATTCTAAGCGCGATGAGCCGTCATACAGCTGACAGCTCAGCAGGCATCACTCCAGGCTCAGGGGCCACCACATCACCGTGTTCATCCCGCTCCTCCTCACAGCGCTCAGGCACAGGGGGCCACACACCCAGAGGCCCCCACCGCTCACCCGGCACACAGCCTAAACCCCCAACAGGCAGTAGTAGTAGCAGCAATGCTCTGGCTCTCTCCAAGACCTCCAACTCCCCGCGCCTCTCCCCAGGTCTCAATCATGATCTTCATCACACAAATAAAACACATGTAATCCATGCCAAGAGTGTCTGATCTGAGGCACAGGTGTTTGTTCACAGGTTTTCAAATCTTGCACAATGTGCATGTATAACCAGAGGGTCCTGGATCCCTTTCACAACTAAAGTTTTACTTAAAAAAATAGGTCTGAATAAGAATGTAAAGGTGTTTTTTGACGGAATTTTTTTGGCACAGTTTTCTACTTATAATGTCATCTTTTTATTTAATGTCATCATCTTTTGACCCCTCATATCAGAACACATCATTTGAATTGTTGTGGCAGATTGTTGACTCATAACTCAATGGCTACTGTATGATTGGCTCACAGTTTTGCATATTTAAAGTTGTCAATGCTTTGATTTTAAGGTGCTGTTTGTGTTTAAACTGTTTTAAAACACGTAAGCCTGGTGTCCACACTACTTCAGCATCTTTAACCCACGACAACAGAGCATTTTCAAATTGGCCCATGGTAACCTTTGATTTGGCCTGTCATCCCATCTGAAAAGAGAGGTAGAGTGATGGAGATTGGGTTTGAGCGAATGCCTTTGACAGAGATTGTCGTTTCGAATTTAATGTAACCTTTTGTTTCTTTGTTTAATTTTTAGGCTACTTAAAAAGTTAACTGAAATTAAATGATGCATTGAAATGTTGTAAATGAATCCGACTTTTCAAATGTAAACACTGTCACTTGACAGATAAAGACATAGCATAAGGTATCTGCGAGCAAATCAAGGTAAAGGCAGGAACAGCTACAACTTGTACACTAGTACAACTAGTCCATTATGTGTTGAACTTCAACGTTTTGGAGTTCAATTGTGTTATAAATGGGATTGTTTATGTTTTTATTAAATGTTACAAAAGGTACTGCATTAGTTAATAGGATTTAAAGGAACATTTTTATAGTTATTTTTAAATATTACAAAATATATTAGGAAATTACCCATGGAAAATTTATTATATACGGTTTGGTATACATTTTTTGCCCAGAAACATCAATCAAGTTTGCCTTTTGGCCCTTTATAGGAGAAAGTTTGAGCACCTCTGATATAGATGGACTGAAATACAAACTTTTGGCTATCTACAATCACTGTCTGCCTGGTGTTCTGGACTATTGCATATAGTTTCCTCATTACACAGCTGCTAAACAGCAAGAGTAACGATGCCGGCAAAATTTGCACTTGCTTTGTGAATATGAATGGTCAGGTATCATGAGTTATAGGCTGTATAGTGTGGACCGAAGCAAAAAGTCTGGACACAAGAGGCACATTAGACCTAATGGAAAATTTTCTTTAATACAAGTTATTTTTAAACTAACAAAAATTCGAGTTTTCAAACATGCATGAGATTTTTATTGTACAATAACAATTATATATCAAAAGATTGTCATTCAGATTTTTCATTTCATGACCTTTTTAAAAGCCAGAAGTAAAGATGCATATAATAAAGTCATTATAATATATTTTAAGTAAGTAAATGAATAATTAAAATCAAACTAACTAAAGAAAAAGTCTTGCACTTCCTGTAGAACACATAATTATTTGGATGTGATTTATGTTGTGTTTACTCATAGGACTGATATAATTGTCATTCTTTCAGAGCGTAATCAATCTGAGAATCGTACATCCCTCCGGAGGAGTCCGTCTCCACAAAAAGGCTCTCCATCGCCCCAAGTGGTCTTCCTTAAAGACATTGTATGCTACTTGTCCCTGCTGGAGCGAGGGACGCCAGAGGACAAGCTTGAGTGTAAGTTTGATTGTAAATTAGTCAAATACATAATCTTTGTTAGAAATTATTTTAAAATGTATATTTTAATTGCTTATTTGTTCATAGGTTTAAGTATGATGGTTTATACAGTTTTCAACAATTCATCAATAATTAATACATTGCCAAAGTTCCAATAGAAAACTCTAAAAATAGTTTGTAGTTTATGTTACCCAACCTAGTTTTGCCAAACCACAGAAATCATGTTATTAGTCATCTCATTCTTGGTGGCGGTCATTTTATTTAATAGATTTCATATTCTTTCTTTAAATGTGCTGCAGTGGTTGAAATGCATATTAAACATTTTTGGATTTTTTAAATATATGAACAGTTCATTCTATTTCTGTTACTTTGTGAAATAATTTATCTTGAATCCCACACATCAAACAAGTTAATGAAATTAAATTAAATTCTGTGTTACATTACACTTTTTAAAAGTATAGCAACATTTTTTTTATCAAGCTCACCAATGCTGTTTTTTAAAAAAAAAATAATAATAATAATACAGTAATATTGTTATCATTCAAAATAACTTTAAAACAAGCTTTATATTTGTTTTAAATGTAATTTACTTATGATGGGAACTCCAAGTTTCAGTGTTGGGGAAAGTTACTTTTGAACGTAATATATTACGATATTGAGTTACTCGCCAAAAAAGTACCTAGTCGTGATATTTAGTTACTTTTTATGACAAGTAATGCGTTACGTTACTTTTGAGTTACTTTTGTATTACTTTTCCTTACCTTTGCTGAGGCTTGATCTGTTTCAGAACTTAATTTTTACTCTATTTTTTAATAGAGGAGCTCTGTAATTAACAATTCCCTGTACAACCTACACCTACAGTTAGCTTTAAAAAACAGAATAATATAATAATATATTTAGGATAATTTTATCTGAGAACTTCCTGACCCCAGAGCTATACATGTCATATATACAGATTATTGAAAGTTTAAAGCAACGTGTTTGCAACTTTTGGACTATTTGTCTCGAGTAAAAATCACTGTTCATTTAGACTATAATCCCATTTTCCTTTTCTTCAATGTGTTCAAAATAGCGATTTGACATAATTCATTAAGACTCCTTTAATTTTATTCAGCTATTTATGTTTTAAAAGCTAATTACTTAATTACATTTTCAAAAAAAAGTAACTCAAATATTATTACTTATTTTTTAAAAGTAATCCGTTACATTACTCATTACTTAGAAGGTATTATTATTACATACAAGTTACTTGCAATGCGTTACCCCCAACACTGAATAGTAGTATACTAATTTTGGGGCTCAGGAAACATGTTTTTAGTACTTTTAGTTCTTTGATGGAAAGAATATTCAAAAGAATAGAAATTCTATAGAATAGAAATTTTATCATTATGGCTGTCTCTTACTTTTGATTCCATGAATATGTCGTTGACTAATAATGTATAATTGATAAAGCACATATCTTTGTTAGTTCTGCGTTTTAGTTGTTGTAAACACATAGAGAGTGAAAGTGACAGAGACTTCTAGAATCATTCTCGCTCATTCTGTAAAAGCTTACCTCCAGTTCTATCCTTAAATGTCCTGGAGTTAGTGTTGCCAAGCTTTCTTTAGCATTGATAGTTATTTCTGCTCAAAGCTAATCCTCGCTAGCTGCCTTATTGTGCTCATAGATAACCTGGGCTTCAGGTGCTAGCATGGGTTCTGCACTTCACAAAGGTTTCCAACACTTCAAAAAGATACGCTGTCTTATCTTTTGTTTCTTTCACCCTGAAGTCATGTTCAGGCTGTACGACACAGATGGCAACGGTCTGCTGGACAGTTCGGTAAGTCCTACATCACTGTTATAATATCTAATTTCTCTATATTTGTTGAAGTCATTTGACACTGTTTAGATCTTGTTGACAACAATGAGTTAATGCACAGTACACATTCAATGTGGGATTTTTCAGAGCTCTATTACAGTATTTGTAGTTTCTGTAATGTCGGCGTGTTTTAATTCTTTTTATTTGTTTGTTTATTTATTTATTTATTCACTTATTTACTTATTTATTTTTCTATTTATCTATCGATTTATTTATTTATTTATTTATATTTGTCTATCTATCTATGTATCTACTTATTTATTCATTTATATATCGATTCATTTATATACTTATCTATATATTTGTTTGTTTATTTATCCATTTATTTATTCATTTATTTATTGATCTGTTTATTTGTTTGTTTATCTATTTATATATATATATATATATATATATATATATATATATATGTGTGTGTGTGTGTGTGTGTGTGTGTGTGTGTGTGTGTGTGTGTGTGTGTGTGTGTGTGTGTGTGTGTGTATATATATATTTATTTATTTATTTAATCATTTATTTACTTACTTATCTATTTATTTATTTGTTTGTTTATTTATCTATTAATTTATTTATTTATTCATTCATTCATTTATTTATTAATTTATTTATTTACTTATTCATTTATTTGTTTATGTATTTATTAGTTTTTTCATTTATTTATTTATCTATTCATTTATGTATGTATGTATGTATTTATTTATTTATTTATCTATTTATGTATCTATTTATTCATTCATTCATTTATCTGTTCATTTGTTCATTTATTTAATTTAATTATATCTATAGTTATTAATATATATATATATATATATATATATATATATATATATATATATATATATATATATATATATATATATATATATATATATATATATATATATTTATTTATTTAGATATAATTTGATTTATGTTCAAATTAAAACAGTAGCAAATCGTGTGACTCCTTTAGGTTCATTTGACTAAAATAGTAATAGTAATTCTTCTGTCGCAATGTCTTAAAGTAAATTTTTATGTTTGATGATATGAAGTAGTTATTTCATTCACACAAACATGCGGAAAATACAGACTTCTTTTACAAATAGTCATTTTGTTGTTTAATACTTGCAAACACTAGTCCATATCACATTTTAATTCAGTATGCAGTGCTTCTTTTGATTTATTAACTCAAAATATGCTAAATTTTGAGACATGTCACTTTACAGTAAATTCCGGTTTTACGACTGTACTTTGCATTCACTTTATATAGTGTAGTAATTTCTTCTAGATGTAATATTTCCATCATCCTCTAATAGATTGATGTTTCTATTCTGCAAGGCTTTGGTGATATAGAGATGGTCTTCCAATATTATTGATCTTTTCTGACCTGGTGTTTAGAGGGAGCTATAAATATCAGGCTGAATGAAAAAAAGAGTGTCTATCAAAAGTCTATGATGTCTAAAGAATTGATGCCTCTCAATTTAGGAGCTGGACCGCATAATAAACCAGATGGTCCATGTAGCAGAATACCTGGAATGGGACTCTACAGAACTGCGACCAGTATGAATCACTTTAACAGTTACCACCAGGCTGTCTCATTATGCTTTATGGTGCAACCTACTGTATATAATATTGTCCCTGTTTTAATTGTGTGTGATACTGCAGATTCTGAAGGAGATGATGGAGGAGATTGACTATGACCGAGATGGGACGGTCACACTAGAAGAGTGGATTCGAGGAGGAATGACCACCATACCACTCCTGGTACTGCTGGGAATGGAGACGGTAAGAAAACAATAAGTTGACACTTCGGTTTAAGGTGTCTGTGTTACAGTGTAACTATTCATTTGACTACTTACTATAATGAATCGATTGCATGTACTTAGTATATGGTTATGGTTAAAATGTAGGTTAGGTTTAGGGTTAGATTCATGTAATTATGCCTAATTAAGGTACAGTGTGTAGGATTGACACCTAGTGGTTAAACTAGATATTAAAGTCCAAAATCTAAATATCGGGGAGGTTTTTTTTCACTGTACACACTGACAGGTTGCCAGATTGATAACACCAACAGGATTAAGTGTGCCTAAAAATTAAGTCTTACAATGTAAGCTAATGTGCACATTAAAATTTTACTGTATCTGTTAATTTCTTAAAATACCTAATGTAGTCTCATTTCTGAGGCTTCTACTTTCCTCCAGAAGTCGCGTTTTTGGCCACGTCCACATACAGTACATTAAAGTGGCATTCATGACTAAAATGAAATATGCTGTTTTTCCCCAAGGCAACCTGGGGGCCTAAATATAATTGGGTAAAGTGACAGTGGGCGGTGTTACTCATACCAAAACATTTTGAAAGAAGATTAACTGACTTTAGCATTGTTTTTCAGATGTTTTTTAAATATCAAAAAATATATGAAGAGTTCAGATGCAAAACCTGCTAAATGCCACTTACTTCCGCCAAAAATGAGCTACTGAAATTGAGCAAATGTTTCAGGCACATATTTAACAAATATGTTTGCTTCAAATCATCTAAATCCCAGTGTCAGCCCATTCACAAATAACAGTTTGTTTGCAAAAGCCTCTAAACACCACTTGAGCGCTATATCTCAAGAAAAAGCCGCTATATCTCAAGAACCAATCAGAAGGCGTGAATCAAATCATATGTTTTCAATGTAAGCCAGCTTTTGTAAGGAGACAGTTTTATTCCGATTTAGATTTAAATTTTAAAAGATGGAGTTTGATGAACTGGATGAGACTGTCCAATTGTCAGTGAATGGCAAATGAAAATGTGCCTTACCTCAAAACTCTGTGCAATATAAGAAAAGAAAACACATGGTTCAGTCGGAAGTGTAACATGCATTCATAGCGTCAGATGGTATTTCTGTGTGGAGTTTGCATGTTCTCCATGTGTTCGCATGGGTTTCCTCCGGGTGCTCGTGTTCCCCACAGTCAAAAGACATGCGCTATAGGTGAATTGGGTAAGCTATTTGAAATTGCTACAGGATGATGTGTTTCCCTCTTTATGCACTGAAGCTGGCACGTTCCCTGAGTTTTTCCAGCAAGAAGGTGCACCACCACATTATGGGTGTCAGGTCCGAGCATTCCTAGATGGACAGTTTCCTGAAAAGTGGGTTGTCGTGGGCCAGTTAAATAGCCCCCAAGGTCTCCCAATCTGACCCCCTTAGACTTTTATCTTTGGGGTCATATGAAGGCAATTTTCTATGGTGTGAAGCACACCTTTGTTTTTCTTGTGAAATTCCCAATAAGTTTGATGTGTCGACCCTCTTCCTATTGAAAAAACAAAAGTTGATCCAAGATGGCCGACTTCAAAACGACCACCATGGTCACCACCCATCTTAAAAAGTTTGCCCCCTCACATATACTAATGTGCCACAAACAGGACATTAATGTCACCAACCATTCTTATTTTATTAAGGTGTATCCATATAAATGGCCCACCCAGTACATAGAGCACCTTAATTGTAATTACAATAGTACGTACATGGAACATGTGTAACAAGGATTGTTTTGTATCATAGTTGTGAATTCTAAAGAGGAAACAACACATGAAGATGTTGGGTTTTCATTTTGTTTTTTTCTTCCACATACATTCAGAATGTACAGGAAGATGGGCAGCATATATGGAAACTGAAGCATTTCAACAAGCCAGCCTACTGTAATTACTGCCACACCATGTTGTTAGGAGTACGAAAGCAGGGTCTTTGCTGCGCACGTGAGTATCTGTGTGTCTGTTTTTCTATAGTTCTAGGTACTTTTATGTATGTGTGTACTTAACTTTCCATCTATGTATTTGCCTGCATTATTTTAGGTTGTCTTTTTCTTCTGTCTGCCTTTTTCTGTTATTTATCTCTGCCTTTTTGTCATTTATCTGTTTTATGTACAGTGCTTAGCATAATTGAGTTCACTACATTTTGAAAATTTATATTTTTCTCCATTTTTCAGTGAATATAGGCAATGTGTTTTGGTGCATTTAAACAAAACAGATTTATTAAACAGATATATTTATTAAAATAATATTTTAGTCACCAAACATAGTAGGAAATTGAAAGAGAATACAATTAAATTCAAGCAAAATATTGCAAAACATTTTTTTTTTGCTTCTCTTGATTTTTTTTCTTTTTTAAATTTGTATTTAATATTTTTCTATAACATATACATTTGGGTGTACTAGTTTCTAGACCATTATTGTTCGTTATTTTGTTAGATAAACTCCAGATTAGGCTTCAGTACTGACTAATCTAAGGTATATGTACAAATATAATATTGTACCGCGTCCTATTAAAAATATGAATTATAAGATAGATTTTTGAGGGGTCAACTTAAATATGCCGATTACTATATATTGTTTCACAGTATATATCATTCGTTCTACTTGTGACTAGTTGTTTAGTATGTCTGTTTGTCTTTTCTAAAATTTCATGTCTTATGTGTCAATCCAGGGTGTGTGTAGTTTTTAGTTTGCCTCCAGCCTTGCTTCATTTCTCACAGTCGCGTCTTTTGTTTGGCAGTATGCAAGTACACAGTCCACGAGCGCTGTGTGTCCAAAGACATTGCTCCTTGCATTAGCACCTACGCCAAGTCCCGCAGACACACCAATGTGAGTGCAAAAACACAACCATATGCTTACAAATTAACACTTCCTCACTGTTGAATGTTTTCTGTGAAGCAACGAGGAGCAACACTTTCTTAATCAGATGACAGTTTTTTTTTTGGTTTGTTTTGTGAAACTGTGAATCCCAGATGGATCTGTTAAGCACAGAGCTTGTAGTTCTAACAACACACAGTTTGCTATTACTGGTAAAAGATTTGCTTTATGGTTATTTTATCTGCTAACCGCAGCCCAGCTCCGTTTTCACCCAAGGCAACTTCCCAGACCCATTACTTTCGGTTTAAGCTCAAAGTGATGTTCTGTGGACATGTCAAGAAGGTTATGAGAACATCCTGTGTGACATCTCTTTTTTGTACTGAGAATGAGGGGGGAAAGACTATATTATTATTATGACTAAAGAGTGAGATCATGCAACACCTCTGTAGAAACTACTGTAAATACAACAGAGATGTAAACTCGCACTCGAAAAAAACAACAGCAACAAAATTAGCATAACTAAACATGGTTATGTGTGATCGACACATATGTGATGTGTAGTTCTGCTTTAAATCAGAGGTTTCCAAACTTTTCAACAATTCCAGTGGCTGGTGACCCCGACTATCATTGGAAGTGGTTATAAACATACAAACATTGCGCACCAAGAGGCCTGTATACAGTGCTCAGCATAATTGAGTACAGCCCATTTTGAAAATGAATGTTTTTATCTATTTCTCAGTGAACATAGGCAATATATTTTGCTGCATTTAAACAAAACAGATTTATTAAACCAAACATACAATTATGTACACACATACAATTAAATATGATACAATTACATTCAAGCAAAATTTTGCCAAAAAAAATCACAACCAACAAATTTCAACATTTTACTACATATATATATGTATATATATATATATATATATATATATATATATAGTTTTTTCTATAACATAAATTTAGGTGACTAGTTTCAGCTGTATAGAAGTGCCTTGAGAAATATCTAGTAAAGTATTATTTACTGTGATCGTGGCAAAGATAAATTAAATCAGTTATTAGAAATGAGTTATTAAAACTATTATGTTTAGAAATGTGTTAAAAAAATCTTTTCTCCGTTAAACAGAAATTGGGGAAAAAATAAACAGGATGCTAATAATTCAACTGTACCTGTACATACACTTGTCAATTTGTATATTTGTAGTCAATGCTATTTTTAAAATATATTTATTATCTGTTTTTTGTCCTGTCTCTGTAATTTTGTTGCAGTGTAGATGCTCTGTCTCGAAAACAAATTCCTCGTATGTGTGAACATACTGTACCTGGCAATAAAGTTCTTTCTGATTCTGATTCTAAACATCGCAGTAGTTGCAGTCCAATGAAAAAAAGAAAGGCTGATGGCTTTTTATTTGCAGATTGTTGTTTTTAATGTAACTATTAAATACTATTTTATCTTCTGTGGGTTATGGATAAAATAAGGTAATTCTAAGAGTTTGATATAATAAATTTTTTTGAAATCACCAAGCCACCCCACCCTAACTCCCTTCCCCCAATCAACTTTGGGAACCACTGCTTTAAATCATGGTGCAAATACTATAAGCATTTATAACGTTTTTATTTTTTATTTTGAGCATTATAAAGATGATGGATATTAAAGCCTAAAGTATCTTCTTTCCAGAAATACATAAACAGTCAACGTAGACTCAGATGATTCAGCAACTGTTACTGTTTTAGTTTGGGAATGTCATTTTTGAAAAAAAAAAAAATGCCTCTGACGGTAAGGGAAAGAAGGACATCGATATAGTCTCAGAAAAAGTCTCATTTTGCTTGCGATCTTCATCAAATTTGGAATATACACTCATGAAACACTTAGATCTCAAGGTATATCTTTTCTAGTTCATTACATTAATGTTTATTCGTGTTTCTATATGGAAAAATGAATATTGAACACAGTACACTTTTTCTTTCTCATTACTTTTTAATGTATAACTAGAATTTTTTAGCATGTAACTTTCTAACCGTAGTAAAGCTCAAAGTGTCTTCTTTCCAATGATACCTTGTTTAGGTAAGAACTGTTAATATTTAAAGTTAGGTAGGTATAAATCCCCAAAATTAAGTGCTGGCTAACAGGTTAAACTGATAGTGGTGAAGATTTCTTTCTTTTTGTTTTAGTGCATTCATGCACTGATTGCTATAATTTCTTTAGCACTATCTTGTGTGAAGCTTAAAGACATTTTGTGTCAATCTTGTTTATGTTTTTACATGTAATTTGCAAATAATGACAGTTGTTTAATATAATGGAGGCATCACAACTACAAATAATTCTCAGCAAATAACACATTTCTTAATCTCTCTCTAGGCTATGCAGCATGTTTGGATGGAGGGCAACTCCTCAGCAAAATGTGACAAATGTCACCGCAGTATCAAGTGCTATCAAGGTCTGACAGGCCTTCACTGTGTTTGGTGTCAAATCACTGTGAGTATATGCTTACGTTAGTTTTAGTATTATTCCTTGCAACCACAGAAGTAGAAAATTCAAAAGAGACCTTCAATTATTGATATTATTTAATACTGTATTCATGTATAATACTGTTTCTGTGTAAGATACCTCAAGCAAAGACTGTAAAAAAAAGAACATTTCTAAATTTCAGGAACAAAAATAAGCAATATTGAATTTATTATTTTGTCTGTTTTTTTCCAAAAAAGCCTATTTTTATGTAATACATCTTCATGCCACTTGGTGGCGTCCTTTAATAAGCTTTCATATCATTCAGAATCAGTAGACATGACTGAATTGTTTTACGATAGCCCTGGTAATAAAGATAAGTGCCAGCACTTATCACTCTTTCAAAGGCTTTCTCCTGCATAATGATTTTTATTATCACATTATATGCTCCTGCACACACCCTGAACCATCTTTCTCCTACAGCTTTCTTGACAGTTTCATCTCTAGAAATGCAGCTAATCTAATATCAAGTACAGGTCCCGCTGTCCCCTTTGATCCTAACATCTAAAGTCTTCTTAGTGTCCGATTAGCAGGGATAAAACAGAAAATCACATGGTCCAGTTCATTCCAATATGCTGATGTGTGTTTCACCACCATTCCTTGTTTATATTTGTATGTTTTCCAGCTCCATAACAAGTGTGCATCCAATATGAAGCCTGAGTGTGATGGTGGTCCATTAAGAGATCACACACTCCTGCCGTCGTACATCTGCCCTGTTGTGTTGGTAAGTTCAGTCTCGTCCAGTAAACACTTATGATTAAATTCAGTGAACCCAAAACAACAAATTATGTTCTATAGCCAGAAGTCCAGCATGTTTTAAATCATAAAATATTTATTTAGAAAGTGTGTAGGTATTGTTATCTATAGATGAACAATCACAATTCAGAGAGTTATTACGTCTACAAAATGCACAAGAAATATTACATTCTGTATGGTAACAAGAGTAGGCAAATACACATTCAATAATAGAACCTTTCCTCAATAAACTCCTGCTTATTTATAGCATTTAATGCAGTTGTTGCTGTAAGCATTTTAGAATTTGGTCAGGCAGGACAAGGTATTTTTATATTTATATTTTTATATTCCTCTGTGGCGACCCCTGATGTATAATGGGACTAAGCTGAAGGAAAATGAATGAATGATATTTTGATTGTTTTGAGTGCATCATCAGCTTAAAGTAAATGATATGCAAGATAAAATTTCTATGATTTTTGTGAAATTAAAAAAAAAAAAAAAAGTTCACACAGACATTCAAGGTAGAAAATTCCCTCATCATTTACTCAACCTCAACTTGTCACAAACCTGCTTGAGCTTGGTTTTTCTGTGGAACACAAAATGAGTAATTTTGAACAATATTGGAAATCTGTAGACTTCTCTAGTATTTGTTTATCATTCTATAGAGTTGAATGGTTACAGGTTTTTAACATTTTTAAAAATATCTTATTTTATGTTTAACAGAAAAAGGAAACTAAAAAAGGTTTATTTGTTTGTTTGCTTGCTTGCTTGTTTGTATACTTTATTGTCCCTTAAAGGGAATTTTTTGTGGACTCACAGAGAAATAAACAAATATGCAAAAGAATTACATACAAGAAAAACATAAGTACACTATCCATCAGGGTTCAATAGTCTGATTGACACTGGGATAAAGAGTTGTTAAGTCTGTTCTGCTACTAGCGGAAGGTTCTGTATCTTCAACCAGAAGGTAAAAGATCATGAAATAGGAAGAGTACATGAGGTGGATTGTTTAGAATTTGTCTTGCTTCATTCAGAGTGCATTGCTCGCAGAGTGTTTGAATACTGGTAAAGGTTTCTGATCCTTTTAGTCTAATAGCAATTTTAAAAATATTTTTTTAAATCATTTCAGATTTACAGAAAGATTTCCATTGCATGTAAATAGATCATACCTGATGACACCCTCAAATACAGCCTGATAAAATAATTACATGATATTCTTGTCAACATCATATAACTATAACCATGTAGAAAATAAAGTCTTCTGTAAAGCTTTTTACAGATCCAGTTTACGTGAGTGTCCCATGTTAGAGACCTATCCATATAAATCCCCAAATACTTGTATGACTGTACCCGAGTGATTTCTTATGTACAAACACTGGTAAATGCTCGACATCATACTTGGGATCAAAGATTATTTCCTTTTTTTTCGTATTAACTTTTAAGAAGTTTTCATCACACCACACAGCAAATTAATTAGTTTCAGAAAAATAAACAAACGGCAAACTTATTTTTCCAGCAAGCTTAAAACTACTGTATCATCTGAGTATTTAAAAATAAAATTATGTAGCTGTCTGCTTAAGCAGTCATTAGTATATAGAGTAAACAGAAGTGATGAGCTCACACAACCCTGAGGGACATCAGAACTACTATATTTAATTTGGGACAAACTATTATTTACTCTGACTACCTGAGTTCGGTTTGTTAAAAAGGAGCAATACCATTCAATAATTGTAGGATTTACTCCTAACTATTTTAGTTTCCTAATAAAAACATGTGGTTGAACTGAATTAAACGCTGAGGTAAAAGCAAAGATATGTACACGTGCACATGCATCAGGGCTATCTAGATGACTTAAAACAAAGTGCAACAGACTATTAATGGCATTGCATATACCTACTCCTTTGCTATATGCAATCTAAAGTGGATCAAGTTGATTACTAATATTCTCTCTTAGCACTAACACCATATTCTTTTTGAAGCATTTCATTATACTGACGTGAGAGCAATTGGTCTAAAATCATTGTTATCCACAGGAATGGCAATTTTAAGCATGTGGATTGTAAGAGATCTTTACAAATTGCTGAGACTACCTTCAAATTAATAGTTTTTTTTTTAAATAAAGAACACCACACTGGTGACAGATCTTCTGCGCATATTTTTAGTATGCAAGCACTTAAGGGTCCAGTATATGATGAGTAAAATTTCATTTTTTGGATCAACTAATCCTTTGAACACTATTTTTGAAAGAATTCATTACTGTGATGACAGTCATTTCTACAGTCTTCATTGTTTTGTGATCCTTTGAAAATGGTGGTGATTTGCTGCTCGTGAATAATTTCTAATTATAAATTTTGGGGAAAAGTTGCTGAAAAAACTACTTAATGTTGTTATGAAAACTATGATGTATTTATTTTTTATGTTTTACTCTGTTTTGCACATCTTACTGATCCCAAAATATTAAATGGTTGCATGAACTTGATAACAAGAACTAATCCAAAGACATTGTAGAATGACCTATAATATATTACAATGATAAAGCTTGCTAAAATTAAAGAGAAAAAAGCCAGGCTTATCCTGAAATTACATTTGTGTTGTCATTTTGTCTTGGCTCTACACGAGTATTACTCCATGTCTGTTTGTTGATGTATACTGTAATGTCTCTAAATCTGTAGGACCGTCATTCTGCTGTCAAAAGAGGTGAAGGTGAATCATCGCCAAGTACCAGTCCTGAGGACACCGGCCAGTGTTTCAAGTTCACCGGTGATGGACAGGCGCTGCAAGTGAGCCCCTAGAAGACTAAAAATATCTGTATAACAATTTATTTTGATGGTCCCTTTTTGACTTCACTTTTGTACTACAGGTCAACTAAATGTTATTGGAGTACTTGCATATAATTAAAAGACTGATTATAAATTAAAAACTGATATAAAAGGAATAGTTCAGACAAAATTAACAAAACATTGCTATTAATTTGCTTATTCTCAGTTCATCCAATAAGAAGGTGATTTTTGCTTCAGTAGATCCATAAAAAGGATATTTGGTGGTTCATAAAATGCAAAAAGTCAGTAGAGCACTATAAAACGTACTTTTAATGGCTACATTGTTGTAAATAATGTTCAGTTTTAGCACAGATGGTTTCACTTCAGCCATATGTATTTATTTTGTTTTGCATGTGTATGTTTGTTTGATCTTAATGTGCTAATAACTTTAAAGCGATAGTTTACCCAAAAATGAAATAATTTACTCACCCTTTATTTGTATCAAACCTGTTTGACATCTTTATTTTTTTATTTTTTTGAACTCAAAAGATGATATTTTGTAGAGGTGTGAACCTACATGGTCTCACGGTCGGTTAGGATTATTATGCAATCGATACAATTCAGTTCGATATCTCGGTACATCACGGTGCATTGGCGATGCTTTTCATCCACAGTTTTATATTTTACTTCACAGCACAAGAATTCTTGTATTAAAATGTATAAATATATATTATATATTATTTGTAATTGAATTTTGTCCTTTAATATAAAACAGATAAATGTATACCTTTAAAAATTCAAGTACATCCACAGAATGGCATGAGTATTTATAGCAACAAACAAATGTGAATATCCCATTCGCTTTCTGAGCTTTGTCAAGTGAGTTCTTACACCCCTATGATTGGTTAAGTGCTCAACAGAAAGGGCTGTGATTGGCTCTAATGATCTGGTGCTGTACACCGATGAGTGACACTGATAAGCGGCAGCAGTGATCACAGCTGATCTATGATAGAAGGAGAAACTTGCTCTGCAGACACGTGCTTGTGTCTGTATCCAGACGTATTGCTGTAACAGCAGAGAGGAGAGGAACCGTTGCCTCATCGAAGAAACAATTTTAATACCCCTAATATTTTAAAGAAAGCTGAAAACAGGTAACCATTTATTACCTTTGAAGAAAAGTTAGAAGGAAAAAACTAAAAAAATAACCCCCTAAAGATTTTATACCCTGCTAGGGTGAGTAAATGATGAGTTAGTTTTCATCTTTGGTTGAACTATCTCTTTAACTAGAATTTTATGAATCTCCAAGAACCACGGTTTCAGATCAAATCAAAGTCATTATGAAACACAACTGACACTTTTTACTTTATTAGCTCATGCTGTTATTTTTGGAGTGAACAATTAATGTATCTTAATGCACAGAAAAAAAAACTTGTACTGAGGTTCAAACTCCATACTCAGGGATTAACTAATGGATGCTTAAAAACTGTTAATAATTATATAAACCAAAAACAAAAGTAAAACTACAGCCCTTCACAGTTGACTGTCACAAAAACAAATAAAACTTAAATACAAATTATCCCATGACTGGTCATCTCTTGGACTGTCATCACTCTCTTTTCAGGAGCTCCTCGGTGGGACTAGAAACCTGTGTGGCACACAGGTGAAACTCATTTTTTACTCCACTCCCCCAGCTCTTGGCCCTGCCCCACTCATCAGGGTCATATTTAATCAAAAATCTATGTTCAGTTTTAGTTTGTAATGTGTTCCAATACTGAAGTAAGACTGAATCAACCTTTAGTTCACATATTTTAATAAAGAAAAAGGTTGTTTTGGATGGTCAGAGGGTGGAAAATTGAAGTCATATTTTCATTTTATTGTTGAGAATGAAAATTCTGCCGTCATTCACTCACCCTTTAATTTTTAACCTGTTTGAACTGTACTAAAGAATGTTGGAGCAGACATTGAGTTCAAGTTTGTTTTTGTTTTTTATTCCCAATACTGATATCAATGACTACAGGTTTCCAGAAATTCTTCAGAATATCTTGTTTTGTGTTAAACAGAAAACAGACATTCATAAAAGTTTGGCATCACTTGAGTGTGAGTAAATGGTGAGGAAAATGCTCATTTTTGTGTAAACTATCCCTTTAAGTCTACAATCTGCTAATACTAAAAAGTGCCATCATTGCCATGTAGTTGCAAAATTAATTTAAATCAGCAGTGACAATGTGGAAATAAAGTCTAACCTAAGTCTGTGTGTGTAACTTTTTCTCTTTCTCTGTCTTCAAGATCACCCCTCTGCCCGGAACCCATCCCCTACTTGTGCTGGTTAATCCTAAAAGTGGTGGTCGGCAGGGTGAGAGGTAAGCATCTATTAAACTCAAACTGTTACATCATCATTTTTCATATTTCTCAGCCTTCTGCTGTCAAAATGGAGGATTTGTCTAACCATCTAAAGTCAGCTGAATCTGCATTGACATGTACAACAAAAGTCCCACTCTTTTTCTCGCTTGCTGGCAGTGTCCTAAATACCATCAAAGCAAGCAGGAGACAGTAATGCTGTTTAAGGAGGAAGAATGTGGGTGTTGTTTCAGCTCTCACCACCCACCCATCGTCCTTCGGGAGACCAGTTTTGGGATTTTGTGCTGGCATCACCATAGCAACATCGTTTTAAATACCATTAATTGGCCGATTATCCTCCATTATTAGACATGTGCTCAAACAAAGACGTGATCACTGCCCTGGCCCCAAAAAAGAAAGACCATTTTGGTGGTTCTTTGATGCAAACAAAGGAACAGAGTGATCACCGTTGAATCATACTGTACCGAGTGTATTTTTTCCACCATGTTCACCCTGAACAGCATATTGAAAGCTCATTGGTCGGACTTGACACTTGACTGCGCTCTTTTGTTCTTTGCATAGGGATTGAATGAAGCCTTCAGTGTTGATAAGTGCTCAAATTATCACCCCCACATAAAAGCATAGCTTGTGACGCACCTCAAACCAACAGCCTGTCTTATTTTCCTCTCTCTCTTTCTCTCAGTGCGTCTTTGCATACTAACGGGCAGAGTAGCTAATGCAGTTAGAAGTGAAGGACATTGCAGAGTCCTCAATAATCATTTTATTACTTCAAGGTTATCGAGGAGCGCTGCTGCAACAGCATGCAATCTGTGTATGTGTGCTTCTTCCTTTTTTGACTTTATTGATTCTCAACTTCGTTTGGACTTTTATCATAATGGAGAGGAACGATGATAAATATCGTTCTGCCATATGTGGGTCTTTTCATGGAACAGTTCAACCAAAATAGAACATTCTGTCATCATTTACTCATCCTCGTGTTGTTCCAACATAAAGGCTGCAGCCTGCTTTTGGTGATTATTTATTTGATTAACTGAGAGGGGGGAAGACAAATGTTATTTTTAAATTTATCACTATTTTCTGTTCTCCAAATGAGTGGAATGAGTTTGTTTCTTTTAATCTGTTGATGGTTATGTGGATCATCAACTTTACCTTTATTAAATAGTCTACACCTCAGTATGTGCTAATTACTTTTTGTAAGTGTGTGAACAGCTATTAATGAGAAAAAATAACTTTCACTACTGGTGAGAAAATCAAATCAAATTCTATCTATAGTCTTATATCTATTTTGTAGTCTTATACTGTATTTTAGACTACAAACTAGATCTAAGTAAGACTATAGAAAGAATTTGATTAGATTTTCTAGTTTTAAATACAGCATACTTTACCTCATCTGTCAACATGCTGTAAATGGGGTTTGCCCTCATGAAACATTGTATGAAACACTTTAAACAACCTCATAATCAAAACACTCTCAAACTTTGCACAGCTTCCTTGGGACTGCTTGGATTAACTTTGTCCACAGTGATTTCTCAAAATGTAGCTTGTTTAGAAGTTTGTTTATTAAGTTGAACAATCCTTATTACAGTGCACAAGCCTTGCTAATAAATACACTACCTGACAAAAGTCTTATTGTTGATCCCGGTTGTAAGAGCAACAAATAATAATTTGACTTCTGTAAAGAAAAGTGGCAGAAGGTCGATTTTTCTGATGAATCATCTGCTGAACTGCATTCCAATCATCACAAATACCGCAGAAGTCCTATTGGAACCCGCATAGAGCAAGATTCTCACAGAAATCAGTCAATATTGATGAAGAAAAGCCATGGTTTGGGGTTACATTCAGTATGGGGGCGTGTAAGAGATCTGCAGAGTGGATGGCAACATCAACAGCCTGAGGTATCAAGACATTTGTGCTGCTCATTACATTATAAACCACAGGAGAAGGCAAATTCTTCAGCAGGATAGCGCTCCTTTGCATACTTCAGCCTCTACATCAAAGTTCCTGAAAGCAAAGAAGGTCAAGGTGCTCCAGGATTGGCCAGCCCAGTCACCAGACATAAACATTATTGAGAATGTCTGGGGTAAGATGAAGGAGGAGGCATTGAAGATGAATCCAAAGAATCCTGATGAACTCTGGAAGTCCTGCAAGAATGCTTTCTTTGCTATTCTAGATGACTTTATTGATACATTTTTTGAGTCATTGCAGAGATGTATGAATGCAGTCCTCCAAGCTCATGGGAGTCATACACAATAATATCTTTTTTTCTGCTGCACCATGACCTTATATTCTATACTGTACATTATTTCTGTTAAGTGACAATACTTTTGTCTAAGCAAAGTCAGACATTGGTGTCCGAATTAAATAATTAAAGATCAAGGCATGATCATATTTTATTTTGGTAAAATAAGCATGATCTAGAGGCCTTTGCCTTTCACATAAGTCACTTCTGATACCAAATGATCAACTAGAGATCAAGTTATTATTTGTTGTTCTTAAAACTTACATAGGTGACAAGACTTTTCTCAGGTAGTGTATACAGTTGAATACAAGTTATTGTATCAAGCATGGTAAGCCACCATAAAAATGCCAAGTTGACATTCGAAACATATTCCAAACAATTAAACCATGTTTTGCAGCCATGCAAATGCTTCAAATGTCTAAATTGTATTCTATTTGTCGCATAATCCAATAACAATAATCCTTTCCTCCAGTGAACTGTTTGCTGCGACAAGGGTCAGTGAATTAAACAAGAGAAGAATATGATTTTGATTCATGAACAGATTTACAGAACATTTTGATTTTCACATACGTTTTAATGCATTAATTTACAGTCTGAATTCCTTTTTTCTGGTTACAGATTCTTTCTAAAAATGTATACAAAAATGTACAGAACCCTTGTGATAAGGTCACAGTGAAGGTAATTCATGTATAGTAAGCAGACATGTAAATCACAGAGCTTTTTTAGTTTTACATTTACATTTAATATTAAATTTAATAAATCTTTGGGCTCCTCTACTGGCCATTTCATAAGACATAACATGTAAATATAATATTTTTGCCAGACATAGTATAAATCATTTAGCCCAAAAAAATGTGAATTCATAACAGCTAAGAGGCATAGCATGACATTTGAGTGGAAAAACCTCCTTAGCTGTAATAAATTTAATGTAAACCATGGCTTCACATGGCTTATTGCTTTTTATAAAATAGTCAGTCCATATACGTAGCAGGCTTCACAAAATAAGACCGTTTCTTTGCTCAGTACTGATAGCAGAATGATTGCCAGGCAACAGTCACTGGTTGTAAGTTTGAAGAGTATTTTACGGCTTAGAACATTGCTCGCCCAATCAGATTAAAGGACAGAAGCTATCCATTTTATAAAAACATTGTCACTTTAGAATTATAAGGTTCTATCCAACATTTTTTGTCAAAATTGGGTCATAACAATTTTATTACATTATGGGATGCTTTTTTATACGTTGTTTCCTTTTTTAGACTTTTTATTTAAAAAACAAATGTTACACACATACTGTTTGCTATTTGGTCATTCATTTTCTTTTCGGCTTAGTCCCTTTATTAACCTGGGGTCGCCACAGCGGAATGAACCACTAACTTATCCAGCACATGTTTTACGTAGCAGATTCTCTTCCAGCTGCAAACCATCTCTGGGAAACATCCATACACACTCATTCACACACGTACACATACACAATTTAGCCTACCCAATTCACCTGTACTGCATGTCTTTGGACTGTGGGGGAAAACAGAGCACCCGGAGAAAACCCACGCGAACGCAGGGAGAACATGCAATCTCCACACAGAAATGCCAACTGATCCAGCCGAAGCTCAAACCAGCGACCTTCTTGCTGTAATGCGACAGCACTACCTACTGCGCCACTGTGTCACCACTGTTTGCTAAACACAGATAGAACCTTATTATTTCAAGGTGACAGCTTGTTTAACGTGATCTGAATCTGTGATCTGAAAGTGTTCATTTTGTCGGGTAAGTTTAGGTCTACAACACCTTTTCAGTCTGGTTGACTTAATTCAGGTTAAAGTGCATTTTAATTGTAATCTGATTTAATTTCATTTTTAAAAAAATCTATCCTTAATAACACTAATGTCTTTCTTGCCCTTTTTTAAAACCTATGTCATCTCTGTTGTGTTGTGTAAAGTGGCCAAGACATTCAAAAATTCATCATTTGCTTTTTTTACAGAAGAAAGTGTTCGGGTTTGGAATGACTTGAGGGTTGGTAAATGATGACAGAATTTCTATTTTTAGGTGAACAATTCCTTTACGCCCTTTATCATAATGGAAAGTTCAAAGTGATTACACATTTAAAAATGTCATTCCTCTCTGTGAGTCTTTTAATGCTTTTCTGTCCTCATCTGTCTCCATCAGGGTGCTGCGGAAATTCCAGTACCTTCTTAACCCTAGACAGGTGTACAGTCTGGAGCGAGGAGGACCTATGGCTGGGTAAGTCTAACTAAAAGCCACCGTCAGATTTCAGTGTGCATGAACAAAAACAGTTTTTGAGTAATGACGGAATTGCTCAAAAACAGTTTGACATTCTCATTGTTGTTTTGTTCTGGCACGACTCCCTCTTTCTCTTATCATTTTGCTGCTACAAACCTGCAATAAAGTGAGCCAACCTGCAATCAACAAGTCTTAAAGAGGAACCGCTCGCAAAGTGGAGCTGACTCTGAGAGCCCTGCAAGACATTTACTATGACTCAAGCAGCCCCCTGGTGTGTAGATATATTCATTCAAGCGTTCAGTGTTCTTGTGAGTCTGTCAGTCAGGACGAGGCTTCCTCTTTAAGTGAATACATTGTACTAAAGCCTCATCACCCATACACATCTCTAACAATGGACCAGCTCTGGGTCGTTTCAGCTGCAGCACAGTAGAGGAATCTGACAGTGCCGCTGCTGTGCCATCGTAAGACACTGGAAAAATGTTGTGCAAGCACTGGTTTGGCACGTACTCCACCCCATGTCTGATCTAATTCTAAGCCGACTGCTGAGATCCCTCCTGAAGAAGCATTTTTTTGCTCAGACGTTGCTATTTCAGTGCTCAGGAGACATTCGTTTGGAAATTTGGACATTTGTTTCATCGTACACTCTAAAAACTGCTTGGTTCAACACAACTGATTATTGTGTTGGGTCAACATGAAGGAATTTAGTTAGCTTATTAGTTATTTAAAATTTTAAAATGGATTGATCATAAAACTAAAGTTGTCCCTCCAAAAATCAAGAATTTTGTTGTTTCATCTTAATATGATTAGTTTGAAACAAACAGCAAACATTACTCTTAGAGGCATGAATTAAGACGCAAGACGTTTTTGTCGCAATTCTTTGCTATTTTCAGACCAGTGCAACCCTAATTTTCATGTTTTGCACCATATTGTTTAAATAACAAATCCATTTGTGGCACTTTGTGGACTCATGGGTGTGCTGATTTAAAATAAAGGTGTGTTTAGGCGCATTGTTGGTGCATTACTATTTTGAAGAATTGAAATAGACCGCTCCATTGACAATCTAAACGCAGGTCTAAAGTCCAGCGCAGAGCAAGTTAGTTATGCGCCTATGTGGGTTTTAACGCTTACACATTGCTTAAGACACACATGATGTACAGCAATACACAAATATCTTCACATATGAAAAAAAATTAACATTAAAATGTTACAAAAAATATTATTTTATTAAAAAGCCTTCTTCATCTCGGGGGGCTTTTTACAGTTTAATCATGACCATTTTTATTTGTGTAATGTTATTATTATTAGCAGTATTATTTATTATATGCATATTTATATTTGTTTCAATAATAACTACTTCATTAAAACAAAAGTATAGCAGTCGGAGCTGTCACTATATGAGGGATAAAATCCGGACGTGTGTTTGGATAGAACTTTGTTTTTTTGACCACACTTCTTTATTATTGTTCATTTATTCGTTTGCTGGAAATTAGAACTGAATTTAGTAATAGTTTTGAAACAAATCATATTTAAACAAAATTAAATATGTAGGCTAATGGATGTCTTCAGTGCAGTGCATACAACAAAACTTCCTTATCCACAAAAGTAAAGGAGTAAAAAAAGTCAAAGATAAAGAGAAAGTAAAGAGGCCGAGTGAAGGAGGCTCGTTCTATATCCTCGCACTGCAGATGGTTTGTTTAACTGTTTTCTCGCTAGTGAACCATTCAGTTTTTCCACCTACAAATTCCACCATGTAAATAGCAAATGCCGCATGGCGTGACGCAACTGGCTCTTTAAGGCAACGGGAGATGAGGCTCTGATTAGTTTGATGCTTGTTATGCTCAAAACAAACCCATAACTCTTTAGGAGAATCAGTGAAACCCTGTTAGACTATGCGCTGTGGCGCAGACAATATTTTTCCATCCTTAAAAGAGCAAAAAAGGGGTATTCAGACACGCCCTTAATGCTTTTTTGTCATGCACTTTAGGCTGACTGAGATGATCCTGATTGGTTCTCTTGTGTGCATTCAAAGTATCAGAAGAACACATGGTGTTGCTTTAAAATAATGGTCCCTTAGTTAATGCTAGTTAATGCATTTACAATATTTGTACAATGTTTACTATAGTTCAAAATTTACGTATGTATTGTTAAAGCACTATAAGTTAATATGAATTTCATTAACTAATATTAACAAAGAAATAAGTACTCTAATAAATTTATTTTGTTTACCTTAGTAAACACAATAACTATACTTTGAATTAAAGGTACTTAAGATATCAGTGAGGCAGTACCTATTTAAAAGTGACATTTTTGGACTTTTAAGGTAGTAATGTGTACCTTTAAGATACAATATTTAAAATAAGTTTATGTTATTTATGTAATATTTATTTATAAAAACTATCATTTGTATGTCTTTATTGGTCTTCTGTTACCTCTGATAAACTTAAAGACAAAACAGAATAAACACCCAGAAAGCAATTTAAACATATTTTTTATTTATTAATTCACACATCGAAAAGATCTTTTCTTGCACTCTCACTTCCACTAAGTACACTTACATACAAAGTATAAACCCACTCAAAACGCCAGAGTACATTCCGTTCAGCATCCTGCGGTTCAGGAAGGGAGAGAAAGAGAGAAATACAGAAGAAAAGCTAAGCAGTGGTCGTTTGTAACCTTTCGTCCCAGATCTCCCTCCCACCACACTTCTGTAGTCACGACCAGAGCACTGCTCATTCATCAGAGAACACTCAAAGAGAGAGAGAGAGAGAGAGAGAGAGAGAAGGGTGGGGTGGGGGATGGGGGGTTCTGTGACTGCTGATTTCACTCAAGCACAGCATTATGACCATATTTAACTTAGTCTTAAGCACTTAAGCTAATCAGACGCATATAGATCAAGGATCAAGAGACGGTTTATTCATCTGTTTATTTGTTTTATTTATTTATTTGTCTTTTTGACAAACAAATTTTGTTAAAGTTTTGATAAAACAATATTCTTTGAAAGTTTGGGGTTACTATTTTTTTTTTTTTTTTTTTTTTTTACAATGGATACTTTTTGAGGAGGCATTAAACTGATTAAATTGCAATAATGACACTGTGAAATGAAAAATGTGCATTTCCACAAAATTGTAGACCACAGAACAGGCTGTGCAATGGCTTTTGAAAATTCAATGTTGTCATCACAATAGTTGATAAAAAGTAATTCATTGCAAAATCATATAGAGTTATAAAATGTCATAAGATATGTTGTAATATAATAAAACATTTACAAAAAATCTACCATATCCAAACTTTTTAATGGTATTATACATTTTTATTCCCTTTGCTTTATTATAAATCAATAAACTTTATATTAAAAGGTCTTAAAATGTCTTCAATTTCAAAACCAAAACTTAAAAAGGCCTTAAAAAGTCTCAAAAACCCTACTTTCTTACACCTTGGATTGAAATCATAAGCTGACAGTTAAACAGCTGAGCAAGCATCTTTTAAACTTTAGATCTATTAATCTGGGATCTGAACAATGGTCAAAAGAGCACTGAAGAGTCTGTTGTGGATTTATATGGAAAAACAGTCACACAGATTGCTCAAGTGTCTGTTCTTTGTTGCTCGTGTCATTGGGAGAGGGAATTGTTTACGCAAAGCCCATCTCTACAACAGCAGCGTTTGTTGCCATTTTTAACAGACGGCACTGGAACATTACAAATTTATCTGGAGCAGAGCTCATTTAAACAGCCTGAAACACGATTCCAGCCCAAGTCTGTCCAGATTCACACAGCCATAATTCCCGTTTCTCTGTTATCGAACTTTAATGGGCATCCATGTTGAGGATGTTCTTGTTTATATACTGCTTATATTTATATGCCATACAGTAAGAAATATAAGCTACACAGCTTGAATCCAATTGACTGCATTTTCATTGTAAATGATGTGGCACATTTACTCTTCTGTTTTGCTCTTGTCGTGCATGCATAAATCATACTGCATTGTCAGAGCCCATCAAAACAGGTTACACAGTATTAATATTTCAGACAGTTGTGTGAATGCTCTGCTGCTTTATTGCGTTCAGTGTTACAGTAGATCCCACATGTGCGTAAATTTGCAGGATATGTCCTAGACTCATCCATGTACTGCAGTTCTGCTCCTGACCAGCAGAGGGTGACGTCTTCTTCAGCCTCTGTTCTGTTCAGTTCTACAGCACAGTGGAGAGATGCAGATCAACTGGGTATAGTGTAGAGGGGATAGCATAGATTTTGTGACACTATGCAACATTGATGGCTATTTTTACAATGCTATGAAGGGTAGGTTCAGGGATTGGGTTACATGTTAATAAAACACAATGTAGTCCGGTCAGAGCTTCTAGCAACAACCAATCAACTGCTAGTACACGTGTAAAAGTTTGTACTGTATTATAAATGTATACGCAGAACAATCAGGTCCGTAGGCAGCCTGGCGAAAGGGCTGGTTATTTATTTTTTTTAAGTGATCTCTTTGCAGTTATGCGACACATTTTCTGTTTAATTATGAGGTTTAAGTACTGCAATTTAGTGTGATTTTAAGCACATTTTGTTTGCTGGGTTAGCTTGTCAGATGGTCACACTTTTTGATGTACCTAAAACATTTTCTAAAGATTTAGAATTTTTAAAAAATGAAAGAATAGGCTACTTATTTTTAGGCTATTTTATGATGTATCACTAGGGGGAAAACAGCACTCTGTTAAAGTTTTAAATTTAAAACCGTGGCCTAATGTTATTTTTTTAGGCAAAAAACAAACTGACCAGCACATTTAACCTTCCTTAGTCTCAGAATCTGGCCATGTGAATAATAAAAAATAGATAGATAGATAGATAGATAGATAGATAGATAGATAGATAGATAGATAGATAGATAGATAGATTAATGATTTATTTATTTATAATTTATGATGGAATATAGGACAAAATAGAACAAATAAGCTCATGTATGGAACAATACTGGACCTTTGTTAGCTGGGGGGGGGGGGTCTTCTGAACCTTCTGAACTCCCTGTGGCTACGGACCTGACAATAGTGTTTAAATCATTTTCAATTTAAAATGATCAGTAAATTTTAAGAATACAACGAAACTGGGTAATAATAATTAGAAAAAATACAGCTTTAAAAAAGCTGTCTTTACAGTTGATAAATTTATAATAATTCTTTCCATAAAAGATCTGATACCTTTTTTTTTTTTTTTTTTTTTTTTTTTTTTACAAATTTTATAGAAAAATATCGTCAACTCGTCACCTTGGAATTACAAGGTTCTCTCTGCATTCTAAATGATTTTGAAATATTGAGCTTCAAAGTTTTTGCTTTCCGTATAGCAAACAATAAGTGTGTAACAGTTCTCTTTCATGCATTAACATGACAGAGACCCTAAAAGTACTCTAAGTGGAAATGATCAAAATTCTTCTCAATTTGCAAATTGGGGTAAAATAAACAAGGCAATTGCAGAGATAACCTTCTAATTCTGATAAGTCATTTCCCGCTTGGAATTGTAAGGTTCTATCTGGCAGATCATTAATTGAAGCATTACTTTTCAGGGAATACAATCAGTCTGCTTATTAATTTAATAAAAACTTTTTTTTTTTTTTGCTTTTTATAACATTTATTTAATGTTTAGGATGTTCAAATTAAGCACACAAGGCTGTGCTAAACATATTTTCCAGTGCAGATGTTAATTTTATGTCATTAATATGGTCAAATTTATTGAATTGTATGCTTTATATGAACTATTGAATTATTTTTAATGAATTATATGCCCCATGAATTAAATTAATTATTTGTCTTCAAGGCCTAATATCAAATTTAAAGATTTTAATAGAAAATAGACAATGAGCAAATTAGTTGTTTAACAAATACTGAAGAATGTTTCACTGACTATAAATACACAAATAAATTTCACATTTAATATATCCTTTCATACATTCATTTATTTTCTTGTAGGCTTAGTCCCTTTATTAATTCGGGGTAGCCACAGCGGAATGAACCACTAACTTATCCAGCACGTTTTTACGCAGTAGATGCACTTCCAGCTGCAACCCATCTCTGGGAAATATCAACACACACACTCATTCACACTCATACACTACGAACACTTTAGCTTACCCAATTTACCTGTATTGCATGTCTTTGAACTGTGGGGGAAACCGGAGCACCCAGAGCAAACCCACGCGAACGCAGGGAGAACATGCAAACTCCCATTTAATATATTACATTGTTTAAGTAGTTTCTTTTTCAACAATATCTAATTGAACTTTTCATCTCAATGTCAAAAAATGCTTCTAAATCAGCACATTTGCACACATCTTTTCAGTTTCTAGTTTCGTCTCAATTTTGTGTGATGTGGCATTATTTAGTCGACTTTGACTTTGTGTTTATTTCTGGTCTTTTCCGCTTTTTTCTTTACCAGCGGGGAAAAAAAAGAGATATGATTCATCCAAAAAATATAACAATTGGTAAAAATAAGAAATGTTTTCATTTGTTGTGATTGAAAAGAATGCACCAAATATTGACTTTTTAAGTCTTCTAATGTTAAAACATTGGTATTGTGGTAAGGTTATAAGTATAAACATGACCTCTTTTTTTGTGATATTGTATAATTTATAACATACATTTTTATTTGATATTAAGCATAAAAAAATGCTGTAAAAGGCACCATTTTTATGATTTTAAATTTGGAAGAAATTTCATCAGTAGCTTACAGAATAAAATCCAAGTTAAATTTTACTAAAACTCATAACTATAAATCATAAGTCTAAAGATACTGATAATTATCAAGCAGTCCATAAGTTTAAACTCATCTCAGTAAAAATAATAGTTTGAAATAAATAAAAAATTAGTGTTTTGAGGAAAGCCAGCACATTAACAATACAGTAGGTAGAAAAATGAAGGGTTTATGTAAGGACACACACTGTAACAGTCAAACGTGGGTGAAAAATACAGTAGCAATAAAAAAAAAATCATCTTGTTTGTTGAGCCTTCAGGAGCCTTTTCAGTTCCAGCGATTTGTTCCCATGACAGTGAATGAAAAAACAAATGCTATATGTGGCGTCCTTCAGAACAAACTGTACGCTGCCACTGGAGAATACTGTCAGTTCTGTAGATTATTGGGTAGTGCTTTACTGCAAGGTTTTTCACACCACAGGATCACGTTAATTATAAGACCAAGAAAATCTTTCATCCAAACTCATGATAGTAAATTCAGCATCCCATTGTTTCCATATCTCCCAGGCTCAACTTTTTTCGAGATGTGCCTGATTTCCGTGTGCTGGCCTGTGGAGGCGATGGATCAGTGGGGTGGATTTTGGACTGTATTGGTGAGTACATATAAGCATCAGTGCTTTCCTTAGCTGTAATAATTAACAGTGGTACATGGACTTAATAGACCATCAGACTAATGTTGCAGTTACACAGTACATGCATAAATGGCACAAACAGCAGGCTCACATGAGGAGCACAAATGAGTTATTAGACTTATGTAAATGCAGCTGCATTTCAGCTGCTCTGTTGCGAAAAAGAATAGTGATTTCTGGTTTACTAAAAATTAATTTTATCTTTCATAATTAATATTTGAAGACGTTTTATAAGGACAGATGTTATTTTATATTGACTGTGGACACACTATACATCAGGGGTGTCCAAACTCGGTCTTGGAGGACCGGTGTCCAGGAGAGTTTAGCTCCAACCCTAATCAAACAAACCTAAACCAGCTAATCAAGCTCTCAATAGATATACTAGAAACTTCCTGGCAGGTGTGTTGAAGCAAGTTGGAGATAACCTTTCGAAGACACTGGCCCAGAGTTTGGACACTCCTGTTATACATACACACAGGTCTGTCCAAACATATTACAAAAGTTGATTTTCATCATACTGTTGGTGCTAGGGCTGTGTGATTTGGGGAAAATATCTATTTTTATTTATTTACATTTTTTTTTACAGCTAATGCGATTTTGATTTGATTTGCGATTATTTGTTGTCAAGCTTCAGCTCAATAATCTGGATTGTAGCTTATTCTAGCTAAAATGCAGTAAATGTTAGTTATAAAAAGGAACTAAAAAGTAACTAAACTAAAAAGATATTAGCTTATATTAGCAAACAACTCTGAAACTGTAAAAAATACAGGGTTCCACACAATTCATTTGTGTTGTTCCAACACAAAACGATTAAGTTTACTTAACACTTTTAACAAATTTATGTGGATTGAACATAAAAAATTAAGTTGTCCCAATGAAGTCTCAAGAATTGTGTTGTTTCAGCTCATTTTAGTTAAGTAGTTTGAACAAGTAAAATATATTTTTAGCCACCTGTGGTGCTTTTTTAGGTGCTAGATGATGTATTTCCTTGTGCCGTGGGAACAATTCTGGGATAGCTCTTACAAATGACCTGTTTTTGTTTGGTGTCTGCGAAACCAAAATGTTCCCATATTACTGCCGTGCTGTTTTTCTTTGATATTAATAAGTCTATTAATGCTTTTGAAGCAGCAGACGCAATCATCCCACTCGTTTGAGCTTTCCTGTTTGTTTCTTTTTATTGTGGGTGTTCTGCATAGTTCGGTTGTGCAATTGGACTCAAGGAAAGTGTGCTCACTCAATGTGCTAGTAAGACTGTCACACACAGCTGGCAGTCATGCATTTGCTCTTGCGTGGGGGAAATTAAATAGAATATATTTTATATCGCAGCCTCTTGCGATGAGCTAAATCACAACGTTTCAAATCGTGATTGTGATTCGATTTCGATTAGTCGCACAGCTCTAGTACTGACGTTAAAAGAGGACCCAAATCCCGGTGATTGTAAGGCCCATCGCAATGTGACGTTGGAGTGCGGTTTTCCCCACCCACCAAATTAATTGGCAGGCACCATGTTTCTATAATAACATGTATACATGTCCACAGAACATTGTTTTTTTTTCAGCTGCTTTGGGTTTAAAGCCACAGGCTACAAAAACAGCTAATGTATTCAGACTGCAAAATAAGCATATTCAAAAGGCTGTAATAAATAATCTGATGGATATTTTGAGCTGAAACTTTACAGACACCTTCATTCTGGAGACACCAAAGGCTCATCTTACATCTTGTAAAAGTAATAAAATAGGTGCCCTTTAATCATATCTAGGTCCTAACCAGGCAAAACCCAGCTTTGCTTCAGTGGGCGACCATGTGAGAGCTGCAGAGAGCTAGCTGGCTAATGTTTTTTTCAGCTAATGTTCAAAGGTTTCTTTGACCTAACCTGAGAAAAATTTGCATAGTGTATCTTCTTTAAACAAAGCAAATTAGTGCAAGCATTATTATTTTAAACACTCCCCTCCCATTAAAGGTATAGTTCACTCAAAAATGAACGTTTACTCTATTTACTCACCTTGAGGTGGGTCCAAATCTCAACAAGGTTCTTTATGCTATTGAACACAAAAGATGATATTTTGAACAAAGTTGTAAGCCGGTAACCTTTGACATCCATAGTAGGAAAAGCAAGTCAAATAGACGTCAATGGTTATCAGTTTCAAGCTTTCTGCAAAATATTTTCTTTTGTGTTCATCAAAAGAAAGAAAGTCAAACAGTTTTGGAAGTATGTAAATGATGACAGAATGTTGAACTTAGCACTTAGCAGCTAGCTCTCTGCAACTCTCACATGGTCGCCCACTGAAGCTAAGCAGTGCTGTGCCCGGTCAGTACCTGGATAGGAGACCACATGGGTTGCTGCCAGAAGTGGTGTGAGTGAGGCCAGCAGAGGGCGCACAACCCGCAGTCTGTGTGGGTTCTAACGCCCCAGTATAGTGACGGGGACTCTATTCTGCTCAGTGAGTGCCGTCTTTCGGATGAGACGTCAAACTGAGGTCCTGACTTTGTGTTTAAAAAGGATGTCCCTCGAAAAAGAGTAGGGGTTTTCACCCCGGCATTCTGGCCAAATCATGGCCTCCCAACCCTCCCCTTATCATAATTAGCTTCATCACTCTGTCTCCTCTCCACCAATCAGCTGTTGTGTGATGTGCGGTCTGGCGCAATGTAGCTGCCGTCGCGTCATCCAGCTGGATACTGATTTCCTCCTATGTGTAAAGCACTTTGAGTGCTCAAAAAAGTGCTATATAAATGTAAGGAATTATTATTATTATTATTATTAATATTAAAAGTCCCCTTAAATTTACATCTAGCAGGGAAACTCCTACTAATGCAAATGCAATTAAGTTGCAACAAAAATCACTGTGTCCGCACTAATGTCTCTCTGTTTATTAAATATATTCTAACAGTAGCTTTTTTTTCGTCAAAAGCAGGTTTATAAAAGTAAGCCCTTAATATTAAGTCATATTATTACCACTGACATTATTGGATGAGAATTTTACTGTACTAAATGATGGCGTAATGATTTCTGTAGTGCTGATTTATAGCTGAATCACAGTTGTTACATAAATTATGTTTTTGGCTTAACTGACACTGTTTATGATCTATACTGAATCAACTTTGAACTGGTTTGAATTGAACAAGTAAGTGAACAAGAAAACAGATCAATACTTACTTTAAGTATGAAAAGCTGGAGTCATTATTTAAACAGGCCAACATTTGCATTCAAGTTTATATATAGGATGCACTGCATGGCTTGACTGCATTCTATATTTGCTGCTGTTTGCATCACATCCTAAAGCAATAAAGCATGTCAGTGAATGAATCTGCAAATATGTGAACATAAGGACGTCCTTCCACATGGTCCTTGAAATGAGGTTGGCTCTTATTTAAGGCACATATAATCATGACGTTTAACCGTCAGATAAATTGTTCACAAATCATTGTTTCTAGGAAGCGTGTTGACTCATATGAGTGAATACAGGCTAACAGTAGAGATATAATGGCCTGTCTTTCTCTTTTCTGACAGCCGTATTGATGTTAATGGACGAGCGCTGGAGAGGAACCTGTGTGGGCGGTGGCAGATATCACTGTTAAAAGCTGATTTAGAATCAGCTTGGTTTCCAAACCTTTGGCTCAAAATTGCAATTGGCCGATCGTACTAAAACCTGAACTCAGAACAGAAGGGATGTGCTCTTTATCCCTTCAGAGACTCTTTAGCCTGGCAAATTGAGGAGGACAGGGACACACGTGGGAGTTCGTCTTCCTGACGGCCCTAAATTGAAGATTTAGGAGCAGTTTTTGAAAGAGAGCCGCTCTGCGATCAGTACTTTTTTGTTGTTCACCCACACGAGTTTGACTGGTATAAAAAAATGTCTGCTGCTGCCGCTTACTCAGAGAGCCCCTGCGGTTAGGCAGTGCATCACGCCATACGGACCAGCACTGAAAACAACGTCCCCGCAGTCCCTGTGCACACAGCAATGAGCCACACAGGGACTGTCAGCGTGAGGACAGAAACATACAGTTCATCATGTTGGCTCTGCTCGGCCGATACTGTAGCACACACTGCTGTTTGCTTCAGAGAGAAAGAAACAAACAAATTTATTGTGAATTAATGTTACATAGGAATGATTCACAATAATGTGTGAAGACCACAAAAGCCAATGTTATCTGCCTTAAGTTTGCGAGTCAAATAGAAGAACAGACTGAAATCTCTCAATATTACATAATAAACTATCCGGCCACTTTATTAGTTACACCTTACTAGTACTATTGCCTTCAGAACTGCCTTAATTCTTCTTGGCACAGATTCAACAAGGAACTGGAAGTCTTCCTCAGAGAATTTGGTCCATATTGGCATGATAGCATCACAAAGTTGCTGTAGATTTGTATAATACACATATTTTCAAATTTATCTAAATGCTGTTCTCACTTATAGCACACTGCTGACTGGTTATTTTAACTAAATAAAAAAATATTCTTTGCCTCAGCAAACAATAAAATAGTTTTTTAAAAAATCCAAAAATTTTGTAAGTACACAGAGTCTTATCTCATTGTTTTTCTGTTTTAACCAAAATGATCTCACTGTAAATGTCAAGGAGGGTTGTTTTTTAAACATGGGATACATATAGCAAATATATAGTTCCAAAGTAATAATTTACAGTCGTTGTATTGCAGTGGATGAAAACAAAGAGTTTGGGATCAGTCTTTTTTATTGTCTTTTGTACTTTTATTAAGCAGGAATGCATTGAGTATCATGACATCAGATGTATTTAAATTGTTACACAATTTATATTTTGAATTTACATTTTCATGTAATTTATATTTAATGTATTTTTGTAACAAATGTATCATGTAAATTTATTACATTTTTAAAAATGCTATTCATTTGAACTTTTTTCGTTTGAAAAGAAATGCCATGGCAACTCAACCCGGATATTAATAATAATAATAATAAATGTTTCATAAGCATCAAATCAGCATATTAGAATAATTTATGAATGCTCATGAGACACTAAAATTCAGCAGAGCTGTTACACTAAGTGTATTAAAATACAAAAAAATTATAATAATTGGATGGCAATGTTGTTACAATACAATTCCAGCAGTGAAAATTACTAAACCAAACTAAGCTGAACTTCCACTCTGAAAACTGGACTGACACAGTTTCAGTTTACTAAAACTTCCATGTTAAGCTGCTTTGACACAATCTATATTGTAAAAGCGCTATAGAAATAAAGATAAACTACATTAAATTGAATTGAATGTAGCCTTGGTGAGAATAATATATCTAAAGCATGAAATAATCTTACCAAAATCAAACTTTTGAACAGCGGTGTACATTCTTTTAAATGCATTAAACATAATCATAAAATTTACACTTTAAATATCTACTTTAATTTATAGTAATACCAGTGATGCCCTTGTTGAACCCTAAATGGCAACAAAATTCAAACCAGATGTTTTCAAACAGGTTTTCTCCCATATCTTTCATCATTAGGCCAAACAAATATCCCCACCCCAAACATACTGTAGAAATAAAGGTTGCTCTGACGTTGCCACTGTATGTCAATGTTTTGAGTCCCAGTGTTTACTTTTTTCAAGGAACTCTGCACAAAAAAAACATTAAAACATGAAAATGACACAGCACCTTTAATAGCTCTCTTTGTTTCTCCTCAGATAAGGCCAGTTTTGCTCGTCATCCACCGGTTGCGATCCTGCCACTGGGGACGGGGAATGATCTGGCCCGCTGTCTGCGCTGGGGTGGAGGTGAGGATAAAACAAGACTGTCTATCAGCAGCTGGAGGGAATTACTGAAGGCCTTTGAAACCAAACTTAAAGGGCTTTCCTTTGCAGGACCACTCATGTTGAGATTAGCCTTTCATTTCTTTGAATCTGAATACAATACTGTGTAAACCCTTCAAAAGGACTTTGAGGCTGCTTTCTTTTAAACATTTGTACGCACAGCCCTGTACAGAAGGTCAGAATGTAATAATCAAACTTCATCATAGTTAGCTCCAGTCACATGAATGAGGCAGCAGGATTTGCTGAGACCACACTCGAAACTAGGATTGTGATTCTGTGTTTTTCATCACACCAATCTTCAAGGTAGTTCACAAAAAAAGTAAATCCTGGCTTCATTTGTCATCAGCACAAAAGGAGAACATCTGAATAATGTCAAAGCATTGTAAAAGCAGTCTTTATTATGTTTCCAACTTGAAACCAGTGTGTTTGTCAACTGAACAAATGAAGATGAGTCAGAAATGAATCATTCAGGCCAGTTTTGACAACACTATTAAATAGATAGTTTCTTAGTGGTTCCATTAACAAAATTCAACATTGAAACTTCCCATTCTACAAAAGGTTCTTTATAGTTAAAAAAGGTTTGACACACTGAAAAAAGAAAGCAGTTCTTTAACCTTTGTGTACCGTTCAAATTGACTACCCTTTCGTTATGTTCGTGCCTGTTTTTGCCTTTATTGACTTCCATTATAACAATTTTTTTTATTATTGCAAAGCAATGACACCAATTATTCATGCATTTTTGACTGTTGGTCGTTTTCCCTTTTGTTTCATTTTTACTGTTGCTCACTTTTTGGAAGCATTAACCCTTTAGATTTGCCTGGGCAAAAAAACATTTAATATTTATAAATGGAGTTCTATGGAGTAAAGCAGAAATTATAGTGTGCGTGCATAAATACACTTATTTGTCATGATCACCAGCGATCACCTCTTGCAAGATCGCTGGTGAACTACAAACTCATCCATGCACGCCGTTACACAGACCAGTATTCTATTCTCTATCACTATTCTCCACTGATCACACATGTACTGTACAGCTTACTCTCGTTGTTATTGAATATTAGGACTAAATATACACCCTACACCACGTCAAAAGAGTGATTTGTTTACAAACTGGCCATCATTTGTTCTCTCATGAGCTTTCATGAGTATGTCAATGAGAGCTAGGAGAATGTAGATCTCAAATTTTTCATTAGATAAAGATTTCTGTCTCACTGTTCATCTCTTAAAACTATCAAAGCTTTTGAATATTTGGAATGTATCAACTGATTAATTTTTTATTTTGCTTTTGTATTTCAAGCTTGAAAATTCTTATTCAGTACTTCATTTCATTACTTTATTTCATTGAATCCAAAAAATTCACTACATTTTTTAGAGAAAATTTGGAAAATGAGGTTAACTAAATGACATTTAATAACTAAATGATTATTATATCAGGAAAATCTATCATTTTAGTGGCTTCATATAATCAATTCGCTTTCATATTTTTATGTATTTTTGCAGATATATTTTGTGTTTTTAAAATTTCTATTTCATTTAGTTTTAGATTTTAGATTCATTTTTGCTACTTTAGTTATTTATGTCTAAATGTTGATATATTTGGATTTTATTTTATTTTAGCTTTAATTTTGGTAGAGGACAACAACACTTAACAGCTGGTATGAAAAAATAAGTCAGTTACAGCCATTCCTTACAAGATATAAAAGAACTTTATATTTAGTGTGTATATATGGTCTTGCCAATCACTTAAGAAGCAAGAGGCCTGCACTCTTTTATTCCTGTGTGATTACATATATGCGTTCATGATTAGATATGTGGCTTTTTTCAGTAAGTTATGATAGACTGATATGCCTGCGTCTGCTTGTAAGACAGGTGTGGATGGTCTTGTTGAGGCTGCCGAATTAATTGGTGTTTCCTGTGTGAGCATGTGCGTGGTTTGTTTGAGCGGGTAAGATTTTGCCTGAATGCTTTCTTAATTTGATTTGCATGGTAGGCTTTTTTTTCTCTCTCTCTCTCTCTCTCTCCGTGTAAGTAGATTGACTTTAAAACACTTTTCACCTGTAGACAGTGAAGAGGCAACATGTGAGTTTATATTCATGTAACATGTGGCTGGAACTGTCTGCATGTCTGGTCCTGAAAAGCACAGCGGGCACCTGGTTGTCATCACATGTCATATTTTGCTCTTTGGGTTGCCAGGCAAGAGTCAATATCCCCACCTGACGCACAGCATGCGGCCCTTGTTAAGAGATGGTGATGTAAGAAGTAGCTTCTGTGTCCATTAGGAAAAAATTGCAGTTATTTGGAAAGGTTGCCAGTCATAGACAAAATTCTCCTAGGTCACAGTGTTTAGCCCATTGGAGATGTAATAGAGTTTTGGGGGAGAAATTAATTGGACATTTTTGGACAAGGTTCTAAAATGAAACCCACTGTGGCCCTGTTTACAGCTTGATGCAGAAATTTTATTTTAATAACCCCCAAAACTGTATTATTGAACTGTTTTGATCAATCTATTTGCAAGTGTATGACTCATAATAAAGGTGTATATAAAGTCTAAAACTTTTAAGCTTGTCCAATTCTGACCACTTTCAGACTTTTGATCAAGAACAATCAGATTGCTGTTGTGATGTAAAGTAGATGCTTGTGGTCAAATTTGTTCAAACAGCCACAAATTAGCAGCTAATCTAATGCCTAATAAAGTGTGCTGACCAGACAGGATTTAAACTTTGCCATTAATAATTGTGTTTCCTCTAAAGGAAAAATAAAAAATCAAATATTCTCTCAGTAGTCCCAATTCTAACACAAACAGCAGGCCCGTAGCCATAAGTAATTTGGGTGGGTCGAAAAATCCACTCCCCACTGACAGAGGTCCAGAATTGGCCATTGATCCAGACTTTTTTTTCCACTATTTTCTATTTTTTTTTATTTTGGCTGATAGGCCATCATAAATTGTCCAAATAACCCATCAAAGGTTTTAAGAATATTCAGAATATGATGTAAGTTAAATAGAAAAAAACTTTTACAAGTAGTCTAACTTTTATTCTAAATCTTGGACCTTATTCATGAAAGGAAAAATTGACCAGTAAAATGGTCCGAAGCACCAAAAGGGACCATTATTAAAGTTATTGTTGTGATCCATGAATTTTCTAATATTACAAGAAAGGCTATAAAAAATCGTAAAGCTCTTCATTATTATTATTATTATTATTATTATTATTATTATTATTATTATTATTATGTTTGAATTGTTTTTATTCAAATGGCCAAATGTGGCCAATTTCATTTTTGTCTAATAAATGACAACAGGCTGCATTTTTTCTTGCATTTTTTCTTATGGTATATGATGTAATAACTTTGTATTTAAAAAAAAAATCATGTTTTTTTATTATAAATCTGAAGGAAATATTTTTAGTAAATCAAAAATTGACAATCTGTCTAATTAAATAGAAAATGAGGTGAATAACTGCAAAAAAAGTCCCCCTCTTTCACTGAGCTGGCTATGGGCCTAAACATTCATGTTTTAACAGAAAGGACCATACCTAATCTCTTCCCAGAAAGATGGGAGCATGAAATTGTCCAAAATGTCTTGGTATGCTGAAGCATCAAGAGTTCCTTTCACTGGAACTAAGGGACAAAACTCAGTGCCTGAAAAAACACTAACCCCTGGTTTAACAAATAAGGTTTAAGGCTAGTCAAGATTAAATTGCATGTTTGAGCTTTATCAACTCAAAATTACTTGCGGTGAGATGTCTTAAAATATGTCAGTTTCATAATTTATCTCCAGGTGCACACCAGTATCATATTTTACTAAGGCCATTTTTATAAATGTGGCTTAAATAGCCTAATTTAACTAAGGCCTAGTCCTGGTTTAATCTAAGCCCTGTTTTTGCCCTAATGGCCTAAGTGTCTAAATGTGAAGAAATAATTGTTTAAATCATCAGATATTGATAGTCTAAACTCATAGTTCAAAACGGGATAACAAAGTTAGAACTGTGTATACAAACCATCAACTAAGCATCACTTCCATGGAGTACCAATATGACTTATTACAGTTTTTTCATTATAGGTGGTTTGTGTTTATAGTAAAAATATTTGCATACTGAAATGTTTGAGCAAAAGCTACATTTTTATTTTTGTGTTCGGACACTTGCACACTGTTGTTTATAGACACTAACCAACTTTTGTGCATTTCTTTAAGCGTGTGGCTGAAACAGAGGAAAATATATAAAGTTTTACTAATTAATTTTGAGCATGTGATATGATGATCACGGCTGGTCTCTCATCTGTAATCAGCAATAGTCCAATCAGATTGATTCAAGCTTACAATTAATAGACAGATTTCACTCTACTACCTTATCTTCATTTTAAAGAATCCCACCTTTCACCCCATCTCCTCCTTTTCCTCCCTTTACCAGGGGGAGCTCTCAAGACCTACGGGATCTCAGGCCCCCTTTTATGCTTATTTACCAGGCTGATCAATTTTCTCAGGGTTCTGTCACAGGACAGCATGCCAAACCTGCTAATAGCGTCAAGCAGTATCTAAATGCGAACTTATGAAGTTTGTCTTATAGTCTTTTTAAGTTGTGTATATTGACACCACGTCTGTGTTGTGATTGACAGGTTATGAAGGAGGAAGTCTGGTCAAGTTCCTCAGGGATATCGAGCACAGCACTGAGGTTCTTCTTGACCGCTGGAACATTGACATTGTCCCTGATGATAAGGAAGAGAAGGGTGACCCTGTGCCCTACAGCATAGTCAACAACTATTTCTCCATCGGAGTGGTAAGAACTTTATACACTTTTTTCACTAATGCTTACAGCTCAAAGAGACTCCTGAGTGTGTGTTTATAACAAACATGTAAATATTAAATCACAGAAATCTTCTCTAGTCTTTTTTTCTGCACATTTATCAATCAGAATCTCTAACTCCCTATAGGGTGTAAAAATAAGTAAGTGTGTATGTATGCAGCTAGGGATGTAATGATTCACTGTGAGTCAGTTGAAAATCGATTTAAATATGTGACGAAATGTTAAACGAATTGTGAGACATTTTTTGAACAAAGCGCTGTGTTTACAAACCCAAACTCACTTTACCTGCATGTGAGCAAGAGGTGGGGCGGCAGAGTAAAATGACAGTGGTGAAGTTCGGCAGACAAACACAAACTGTGTGCAAATACTGCATAAACACGTTTACTTCGATTAACAGAACAACAAATATGATGCACAGTGAAAAACTGCTATCACAGACGTCTATACACAAAAACACTATTAATAAGCCAAACCACGCAGACCAGGGGCCTCATGTACGAAGACTTGCGTGGAAATCATACTAAAACATTGCGTACGCACAAAGCTGTAAATGTGCGTACGCAGAAAAAAATTCAGATGTACAGTATGAAACACTCAAACACGTTTGTTCATCGTTAGTAAATCCAAACGTGAGCAAATCTGAGCGTGAAACCTGGCGTGCGCAAAGTGTTTGTGTGTACGCAGCGTTGATACATGAGGCCCCAGATGATTTGCAGCTCTGCTTACTCTGATGAATGCTATGGAGATTACATGGTGTATCAGTGTTTTTTAATGAAAGTGACTGAAAGAGAAATCTGTTACAGAAGCAGGTATTAGATTATTTTTAGCCTTTTAAATTAGTTCATACATATTTGAATCATTTTCCTCTTATTATTGAATATATAAAAATGTTCAAGATTATCTATTTTTAAGTGTATCACACTAATATTTATACAAATTAATTACACAAGTAATATTAATTATTCACCTTCATAATCACGTTCAACTTCTGTCTTTGTCCTACTATATAATTAGTCATTTCATAATCAGTGTTTCATGCCAGTGGCCAGTCGCCTGGATCAGAGGGTCTGTTGACCACCTCTGTACACACTGCTCTCTGCTTTAGGAAAGGCATACCTCTCCACACCAGCCATCTCAGTCCCCAGTGAAAGACTTCATCAGTGGGGGACATTGTAAATGTGCAAAGACCCCAGCTTATGCCAAAAAACAAAGATAAGCTGATATTTCTTTTTAAAAATATAAAATCCCAGTCACCGTTTTATTTTGTTTATATTAATAAGTTTTCTTTAGTTTGTTTTTTGAGGGGTGGGTTGTTTTTAATATAGCAATTTAGTTAATATATTTAGACTAAAGGGCTCACTTTAAATTTGTTTCAAATAGTTTTGTTAAAAATTTGAGACTAAAATTGTGAATTGTGAGATTAGTATTGTGAGTTGTGTTTAATTGTGTGTCAGGTGAATCGTTGCGGCTAAATAAAACTGATAAAACTTTTCTATAGAAGCTAGCTTGTGCCTTGCAAATAAAATAGCTTAAAGACGGTAATTACAACTTTTTATCTCACAATTCTGACTTAATTTTTTTGTATTGCTGACTTTATTTAAAGAAAAGAAAATGAATTCTGCCATAAATTAACTGTACTTCTCACAATTGCAAATTTATAGGCTTTCTCAAAACTATTTCTCATAATTTACTTTTTCTTTCTCCGAATTTTCCGTTTGGATGATAATTTTAATGTTTTCCCTCAGAATTACTATTGTATTTCTCAACATCACAATTGTGTGTTTATAGGATTGTGAGATACACAAGATAATTACTGGCATTTCTGAGAGAAAAATAAATACAAAATGTTCTTTGGCTGAAAGAAGCTTCTATTGTTTTGTCATATTGCACTGAAATTAATCAGCATCATCTGAGAAACAGCAACATGTTGAAACTTTGCTGATGTGATTTGCTGCGTCTGAAACAGTTTCATGCCTGTGACTCGTCTATTATTGCACTGAATTCTCCTTCTCACTCACAGTTGCTTAGCAACCCTCTTCTTTTCAAATGTTACATCCCAAGTTGTTGCTGTAATCAAGCGTTTATTGTAAGAACAGTTAAATGTCGATTCAGTTTTTCTTTCACAAAGTGCTTACACAATCTTTTTTTCCTTTATATAAAGCAACTTGTGGGGATTATATAACAAATGTTTTTGCCAAATGTCTATTATTATAAGAAATTATTTACTTACAAATAGATCAAGAACTTTCTACAATTGTACAGTTAGAGAAATGTAAAATTCACAGAGGCAATGGATGGCGGTTATGAACGGATGAATCTCTGCTCTTTCTCTGGCACGATCTCCATGAGCCCATCTTCCTCATCTTGTTTAGCTAATGATTAATTTCTGTTCTGTTTTTAGAAACTGCTGCTATAAATAGTAAGTCTGCTTTTCATTTCTGAAAAATGTCCAATATTCTATTATGATCCGCCAAATCCCAGGTGTGCTGGATGAGTTCTGTTATATCGCACTGAAATGTGCCAAGTAGTCAGGCCACATTTAGAATGGCCAGAAATAGTGGCGCGACCTGAAACAGACCACCTGACCTGGTTGAAATGGGTATGAAGAGTGGCAGGAGGCATAAGCTTTACACAAGGTGGCATGAAAACAAGTACACTTTGTGGCTGTTATGTAACCAGGCTTAAGAGTCCCACTGTCTCTCATACGGTATGTGTGTTAATCAGCCAATGATATGCACTGCATGAGTTATTGTTGTAGAAGCCTCAGGAAATTGTAATTGAAGGGTGCTAATGATAATTCTAGAAAAAATTAAAGAAAAAAAAAAAATAAATATAGTGGAAGTAAAAATTATTAGCCACCCTTTTGACAGTAATTATTATTTGACTTGATATTTTTCAAGACACTTTTATAATTTTATACAGCTTAAAGTGACATTTAAAAGCTTAACTAGGTTAATTAGGTTAACTAGGCAGGTTAGAGTAATTAGGCAATTTTTTGTATAACGATGGTGTGTTTTGAAGACTATCGGAAAAAATTAGCTTGTAGGGGCTAATAATTTTGACCTTAAATTGGTTCATTAAAAAATTAAAACTGCTTCTATTATAGCCAAAATGAAACAAAGAGGACTTTTTCCAGAAGAAAAAAAACATTATCAGACATACTGTGAAAATTTGTTTACTAGACATACCTGCTCTGTTAACATCATTTGGGAAATATTTCAAAAAGAAAAAAAATTCAAAGGGGAGCTATTTTAAAGTTTGTTTATTTTATATTAGTCTTGTGGAATTGTAGCAAAATATTACGCTTTAAAATAGCATGCACCTTTAAAGCTTGTGCCAATTAAAATGCAAATGCACTGCAAAGAGACACAGCAGATTGTTTTTGGTCAGGCTGTCTGATGATACAGTGTGCTGGACTGAAGAGGCCGGGTAACATGAAGGAGTGCTGACTATGAATGGACAATGGCCTATACTGTGAACCCTGAGTCTTGTGATGTGGGTGGACTGACTGTGCCATGTGGGTCTTTGCATGGCTTGGCACCGAGGTTAGTTCTCACAAGACAGTAATAAAAAAAAAATTAGGAAGAAAACACAGGCTCATGAATTAGATGTTTTGTTTTTAGTAGTACTGTGCATTTTAGAATTTGGTTGGTCAAGGTAATAGTTTACTCTAAAATGTATTATATATTTTTTTATATTTTTATTTTATTTATTCGAAATTCCAAAGCTTTTAGACTCGTACATCTTTGGGACAGCCGACGCGCTGCTGCAGTAGGTAGTGCTGTCGCCTCACAGCAAGAAGGTCGCTGGTGAGAGCCTCAGCTGGGTCAATTGGCGTTTCTGTGTGGAGTTTGCATGTTCTCCCCGCATTCGCATGGGTTTCCTCTGGGTGCTCTGTTATCCCCACAGTTCAAAGACGTGGTACAGGTGAATTGGGTAAGCTAAATTGTCCGTAGTGTATGAGTGTGAATGAGTGTGTATGGATGTTTCCCAGAGATGGGTTGCAGCTGGAAAGGCATTCACTTTGTAAAACATATGCAGGATAAGTTGTTGGTTCATTCCGCTTATTAATCCCCAGATTAGTAAATGGACTAAGCCGAGAAGAAAAAGAATGAATGAGTGAATGAACATCTTTGGGACATGAAAATATTAAAATTATTATGAACCTCATGATTTTTCAAAATATCTTTTTGTTCGGCAGATGAAAGACAGAGTATTTGATTTGACTGTATCCTCAACTGAAACTGTAAGCAGTGTTTGCATTGAATGTGCTTAAAGTATAAACTATTATCTTTGAATCCCAGGGAATGCAACTAAACAAATATAAATTTTTAATGCAACTTAAATCACTTTGGATTATTGCATCTGCCAAACTTAGGAATTGAAATGTACACTACCTGACAGGTCTTTTCGTCAATTCCAGTTGTAAGAGCAACAACTTAATAACTTGACTTCTAGTTTATTATTTGGAAAAGTGGCAGAAGGTAGATTTTTCTGATGAATCATCTGTTGAACTGCATCCCAAGACTCTCACAGAAATCAGTCAAGTTTGGTGAAGGAAAAATCATGGTTCAGGGTTGCATTCAGTATAGTGGCGTGTGAGAGATCTGCAGTTGGATGGCAACATCAACAGCCTGAGGTATCAAGACATTTTTGCTGTCCATTACATTACAAACCACAGGAGAGGGCGAATTCTAAAACAGGATAGCGCTCCCTCGCATACCTTAGCCTCCACATCAAAGTTCCTAAAAGCAAAGAAGGTCAAGGTGCTCCAGGATTGGCCAGCCCAGTCACTAGACATCAACATTATTGAGCATGTCTGCGGTAAGATGCAAGAGGAGGCATTGACGATGAATCTAAACAATCTTGATGAATTCTAAAAGTCCTGCAAGAACACTTTAAGTTTTTTGAGTCATTGCAGAGATGTATGAATGCAGTCCTTCAAGCTCATGGGAGTCATACACAATATTAAT